AAAACTTTTTTGCATATTTACCAAAAAAAAAAAAAAACTTTTGTGCATCGGTCTGAACCAACATACAATATGCTCTCTCTATTAACAGTGACGTGAATGTCATTGGTTTACTTAATACGGAAAGATGAGCTGGCTAACGACTGTTAATAGAGAGAGCATATATATTGTATGTATTGAGCTGGCTAACGACTGTTAAGAAGTCTCTCATCTCACTATAAGAAGTCTCTCATTTTCTGTATAAAACTCACATCTTCGTTCCTTTCATGAGAAAATTAAGAAGTCTGTCAAAAACTTTAATAAAACTCACATCTTCGTTCCTTTCATTCAACACACACCTCTTAGTTCTCCTCACACCAACAAGAAAACTCACAAGACATAAACTTCAAGTTTCCTTCTTCCTCCTCTACTTCTTCAACTTTATATCAAGACATAAAAAACCTATGTTGGATCTTCATCAACCGCCACAATCGCTCGTACCCGAAACGCCACCATGGGAAACACCATTGCTCGTACTTGACCCGGTTAATTTCGACGTTGATATGTTGTTGCAGTTGAATTTCACCAACCCAAACAAGAAACTAAGTGTGATGTTTGAGAAAGTTTCGGTAGAGCTCTGGTTTGCCGACGAAATGATCGCCACACAAGGTGTCTTACCGTTTTCGCTAAGAAACGGCAAGACTAGGCTATAACCGATCCGCTTGGTTTCAGATTCCATCTTCTTGCCTATAAATCATATGGTTGAGCTTAGAAGACAAGTGGCGAGCAATAGGATAGATTATGAAATCATAAGTAAATTCACAGTGAAAGCTGTTCTTGGGATCATTCACTATTCGTATTGGCTAAAAGGGAGTTGTCAGCTTCAGTTGACCAGTCCACCAGCCGGTAGCTTACTGTCTCGGAACTGCACTACAAAAAGATGGTGAAGAGGATGATATATATATATATATATATATATATATATATTATATAGGATGATAAATATATAGATATTGAGATAACTTGTAATAATATTTAGATTATGATGTATATACTCTAGCTTATCTAGCTAATTAGCTTTCCTATATACTCTACTTGTATAATTACCGTTCTTCATATATGTTAATAAACAAGATTTCCACAAACTATTTCAATAGATTGTTTACATATAACGTTTTATTACTAATTTGGGACATCTCCATGAATATATATATATATATATATATATATATATATATATATATATATATATAGTTTGTTGTATAATAGATAAAGGAAAGTATGTATATATAAAAAGTGATATATATGCATGAATGTTTGTAAGTAGACATTTTGTGTTTGTAGGTATGTAATATGTATGATGTGAAATGGGATGGGGCCAATGATAATGAGATATGGCTTTAATTAAGAGGGAAATCATGGGTTATATTAATCTAAATACATAGAAGACTGGAAAATTAAGTATATACACATGTTTTCTGTATTATTAGTTCTCTCTCATCAATTTGTGTAAGTTAGACGAAAATACCCTTTTCCAGATAACAAATTGTTTAGCGATATAATGAATTAGACATTGACGTTTATTTTTATTTACTGGTCATCAAATATCTCGGTAATATCTATTGTGTTATCATGATAACAAAATATTTATATCTGTAAGTTTATAATTTTATCGTGTTAAATCATATTATATCGCGATAATATTATACTTATGTGATAAAGTTATGTTTATCATGATAACTCATATATTATATCGTATATAAAAAATAACGAGTTACATATAACGTATTAAATATGAAATTAACATTAGTAATCGATCATTTATATTATTACCGAGTAATATGAAGTGTTAATTTATTTTGTAACTTGTTAACTTAGTAAATAAGTATTATCTCCTATGAAAAAAAGTATTTAGTTTCAGGTACGGTTTTAATTAACTCGGTAATATGATTGTTAACCAATTTGAATCTAAACAAAAGCTACCATTATCGTAATTTTCAATCGCCCCACCTCCCTTGTATTCTTCTCAGCCCATCACTTCAGAACCATCTTTTGCTCCACCACAATCCCTACTATAATTATCACCACCGTCGCCGATAAATCACCACCGCCCCGATAAAATCATCACCGCCACTATATTCTTCTATGTCGGTATCACTTCCCATTGTTTCCTTGTCTTCCCCCATTTATGCATCCACCATATAATCTACTTCCACCGTATCATATCACCACTACCACAGTCAATTTTCATGTTATCGTGTTGTATACCAATTTCACCATCGGAATTGAATCACCATCACTATAATCAATTTTCTCGTCGGAATTGAATCACCACTTCACCGGATTCCAAAAACCCAACTGCTATTAGATGACCCAGCCAAACAATCTTTGGATTAGACCCAGAAAAGACGAACACCAAAAAAACAATAATGTGGAGAAGAGTCAGAGGAGAAATGAAAGAGAAAAGAGAGATGAGAATAATTAAAACAAGGACAATAATGTCATTTTTCTTGCTAATATACTGTATAAATAGTGATAGAATGTGTCAGTTAATTATGAAGTCTTTCATGGTTACTTTGTGTAGATACCCAAATCATAATAGTGACCTATGATTTGTTCATTCCTTCTACCAAAGGATTCCGCCTTCGTTGCACCTTTTTACTCCAATTATTTCAGAGCCAAATTTTAGTTCCCAGTCCTAGTTTTTAGATCGAAACAAAAACTTCATTTCGTTGATGTTAATTAACTCTTTTTCAATATAGCTTTCGGATTCATATCTAAGTGGAGGGCCGTATACGACTTTATTGCATTCAAGGATCAAGTGTTTATTCTAAAAATTATATGTCAATGCAACAAGAATTAGGTCTCTTAACTAAGAAATATTCCAAAGATACCACAAACTTTTTGTTTGGACTTTGGAGGTTCCTAAGAATTTAGGGAGAATTCGTAAATCACTTAGGAACTTTGGTATATTGAAGTTTTAAAATCTTACAGGTAGCTTAGCTTTTGAAATTTCTTTTATTATATATCAAGTTTGTAAACTTAAAAGCCAAATCACCAAAGTAAAGTGTACCACGTATTTCATATGTAAAATGTCTCTCTCTATAAGCAAACTTTAGGCAACTATTCAAATCGAATGCAATCAAACGTATTTTTTTACAACAATTATTATAGTTTTTATTATAAATAAAAACTAATAAAATACATTGATAAGAATCAAAAAAAAAAAACAAAATATAAGAAAAATATAAGCAAAACATAAGCAAAACATAAGCAAAACACAAGCAAAAACTCACGATCTTATTATATAAAATTTGATTTTCAAACTTAGTAATTTAACAACCTAGATATGTCTCTACAATATACAACAAAATCTTATCTTGGTTCTTGTATAGAGTATACTAAATCTAAGAATCTTGATTCGTTTTTTACATCTTTGTGAATGGGCAAAAGAAATACCTATGATAGAGACTTTGAAGATGACCTCTATTCGTCACCATTTATTTGTAATGCATTTTCGATAAACTAAGCCACTGGCTGGTAGATTCATTAATTAAAGCTGACAACTCACGTACAGCCTATACGAATAAGGAATAAACCCAACAACAACTTTCACTTTGAATTTACTTCTGATTTCATAGTCTATCGTATTGCTTATAACTTGTCTTTTGAGCTCAAGTGCATGATTCATATGCAAGAAAACCAGATTGATTCTAGCCTAGTTTTGCCGGTTCTTTGACAAAAACGGCAAGACACCTTGTTTGACGATCGATTTGTCGGCAAACCTCAAACCTTACATTTAGTTTTTGTTTGGGTTGGTGAAATTCAACAACAACAGCATATCACCGTTCAAATATCCGGTTATTTAACATTAATTTAGTTGGATAAAAATTGTAATTGTCATTGTTATATAGTATTTTCTTTTTCGTTCAATGAAAACACAAAAAATAGAAAAGTAATGAACTTATAAGAATGAAATTTTAAATACGTGATGAGAATATTAGTATAGTTATATTTATGTTTTATTTTTAGAAATTTAACGCATGTCGTCACAAGTGAAAACACCAAAATTTGGATATAAGAATGAATTTTTATTACTTGATGACTTGATATAGTATATTTTTATTTATCAATTTCAACTCATTTAAAATTAGTTTGACTTGAAGCAAAATTAACTTATGAGATTACATCATATAGAAAAACTATATTCAAAACCATTTTTGTTTTCCAAAATGTTTTGTGGATTACCCATACAAACTAGTGGACCACAGTAAATTTTCTAGACAAATCAATAAAATTTATTTTATTTTGGTTTTTGACCTCAAAAGATGTACGGATTTAGATTAAGAATCTATTAATAATTATAAAAAAAATGATTTATCAAATCGTATGATCTCAGATTTTTTAAAGGGAATACATATTTTATTTAAGAAACGAGAAGAAAATCATTGTTGAAAGGACAAAAAAGAAAATTACAACATGCACTTTAGAGAGAAAAGTTTTTCCTTAGTGATGAAGTGTTTAGGGAGCCACACCTAACGACACAAAGTCTCACACACATTACCAAAAAGAGAGATATATAGAAAGAATAAACAACATGTTGATTCAAAAACCTACCGAAACTCAAAAGCAGCAAATAAGCAATTGTATTCTAATTACGTAGCTTACATTATTTATTTCTATTTGTGTATTTCTCCACTCTTTTGCTTTATATACCAAAAAATAAATTAAAATGTACACGGAACGGATACCGATTTTTATATTCAAAAAGAAGTAGACCAACTCTTTTGAATATATTTTTTCAATGAATTTTTACAGAGAAAATGCGTGATTTCTCTTCAATCTAAGTAGTTCTTTTCTTTTGTTGTATTAGCAGAAAAAAGCAACCTACTAAGACGAAAAAAAAAAAGAAAAAAAAAATCTACATAAGATGCATGGTGCAAAACTACAAAACAAAACCCATCCCATTAAGCAAAAGCTCCCTCCTTTTTCCCACTCACAATCTCTCTTTTTCAAAAATAATCAATCTTTTAGACTTTTTCTATTTAACCAAACACCATTACTCATTTCCTGAATTTCCTTTCATCGAACACACCTTAGTTCTCACACCACCAAGAAACTCAAAAAACAGAAACTTCAAGAGTTTCCTACTTCCTCTTCTACTTCTTCAACTATCAAGACATAAGAACCCATGTCAAATCTTCCTCCACCGCCACAATCGCAACCGCAGCCGCAACCGCCCGAAACACCTCCATGGGAAACGCCATCTTCTAAATGGTATTCTCCAATATACACACCATGGAGAACAACTCCAAGAAGCACACAATCAACTCCAAGTACAACACCAATAGCTCTTACCGAAGTGATTGTGTCTAAATCACCTTTGTCTCATCTCAAGAGCCCTACAACTCCTAAACTAGACGGTGTCCAAGCACAGTCTTTAAACGAGACAATGGTTCTCCTGCGGCTACGAACAAGCAGGACCAATCCATGGATTTGGTGTGGTGCAGCTTTGTGTTTTATCTTCAGCATACTTCTTATAGTCTTTGGGATTGCTACTTTGATTCTCTATTTCGCCGTCAGGCCAAGAACCCCTGTTTTCGACATCTCTAATGCAAAGCTCAACACTATCCTCTTCGAGTCACCGGTTTATTTCAACGGTGATATGTTGTTGCAGTTGAATTTCACCAATCCAAACAAGAAACTAAATGTGAGGTTTGAGAATCTTATGGTAGAGCTCTGGTTTGCCGACACAAAGATTGCCACACAAGGTGTCTTACCATTTTCGCAAAGAAACGGCAAGACTAGGCTAGAACCGATCCGTTTGATTTCAAATTTGGTCTTCTTGCCCGTAAATCATATACTTGAGCTCAGAAGACAAGTGACGAGCAATAGGATAGCTTATGAAATCAGAAGTAACTTCAAAGTCAAAGCTATTTTTGGGATTATTCATTATTCTTATATGCTGCACGGGAGTTGTCAGCTTCAATTGAGCAGTCCACCAGCCGGTGGCTTAGTTTATCGGAACTGCACTACAAAAAGATGGTGAAGAACAGAGGCTATCTTCAAAGTCTCTAGCTTTGCCATGTGTTCTTCAAGCATAGATCTTTCCTTTTCCCACTCCCAAGATGTAAAAACGAATCAAGATTCAATAGACTCTATGCAAGAACCAAGATAAGATTTTGTTGTATATTGTTAAAACAGATCTAGTAAGGTTGGTGTAATTAAATGAGTCAAAGAGATAATTCTTATAAGGCCACATATTCTAATCCCTAATTCATGTTTGTTTCAAGATTACTAAAATCTGATCCTTATTTTGATCCACAAGACACAATCTCAAAGAAAAGGGATCTGATAGTAGATTCCTATGCTGGTTCTTTTTTAGTTTTAAGAAATCAAAAGAACTAGATTCAAAGAAAAAGGAAGCACATTCATCTCCTAACACAAGCCAACCTGGAGTTCTTTTTTAATTCAAAATCTTAACTTGATGAATACTCTTTCCATGAAACTTCAGAAATTGGCTATAAAAGTGTCATTGGCAGTGACAGAAAAAAAAGTTAAGTAACTAGCTTAGCCTGGACAAGCATGTAAAGCTAATTGTATAAGAAGCCACAATTCTCAGAATTATCTTTAGACCAAAGCAAAAGAAAAAAGGACCTAAAATTGGGGGGTTTTGAGAAACATCAAATGTCTAGTCGTATAGACTGAAACAGAGATCAACAACACAGACTCTTTCACAATTTTAATACTTGTGTCAACAAGAAATTAGTAACCAATTCTAACTTTATCTGCATTCCATCATATAAACTTGCATTACTCGTATTAAAAAGTACTACTACTAACTAGACGAATGAGTAAAGAACAAGACCTAGTTTCGGTGAACAAGACCTAGTTCTGTTTTCATACCCTACTATACACCAGCATCGGTGTCTGAATTGGAATCAAGAACACTTGCTTCATCATTAGAGCTATCTTTAAACACCTCAGCTTCCACGGCAAGCATCAAGGCCTTCTGCTGCATCATTTTTTAGCATCTTAATTCTTAAGGAACCCATTGTTTGGAGATGGGGTCACACTCTGCTTCAAACAGAGAAACCCTACATTCTCTCTCGATAAACAGGCTCATTTTTAACACAACAGGCCTGTTAGGCCCACGGAGTTCAAACCCATGATATGTATGTATCCGGTTATCATACCCGGTTAAATTTCTGTAGGGGAAGAAACTCATGCATGGCATGGCCATGGCCCATGGGCACATGACTTGAAAATCATGAGATGATGTAATGTTAGTATGTCACATAAATACATGGATCTGAACACATGAAGTGGTTCCCGTACATTCCGCATAATCATCATTAGCTTTTTGGTTGCTTCTGTCTGTTGCGAGACCTTCAAATCTTTTCATATAACATTTTTTTTCGTAATGTTTATAATATCTAATGCTGATTTCGTATTCTTTTATCAGAGTTCGTTCCAAATAGAAAAATAACCATTAATATCACGAGTAATGGATCTACAAGAGAAATAAAATATTGGTCGGGATACGAATTTGTTTACATAAATTTTCTCTATACAACTAAACTAACTACATTTGAATTGTGATATATTCACAAAACTCGAAATGCTGACTAATTTTAAAGCTTTTGGAAGTCACTATCAAAATCTCTTGAACTTAAGAGATTAAATAGACAAACATATACACAACAAAGAGAAGCAACACCCACAAAACTGAAAACTGTCGTTCTTACATTTTGGTTAAGGCATGTGCAATCTTATTATTGTGTGCACACAAAGTTTTTTTGTTAGCTTAAAAAAGGTTATATGACCCTCGAGTCATCTTCAATCTTATATTACCAAAATATTATTTATTGTAATATAGATGATAAAAATTGGTGATTGTTGGCTGGAAAGTCATTGTTATTCAGACAACACATGATCATGTGATGGGGTGGCGCGTGGGTCCACGTGATCCCACGTCGAAAGCCTCTCTTCTCAATTTCACAAATTTAGCAAACATCCAAAGATTTATATAGTTAGATAAATGAATAAAAATGTTATTAAAGAAGAACGAATCTTTCTTCTGTATGTAACTCCAAACACTCCCGGTCTTTTTCTCCAGTTTTATATCTTAAATTCTTCAAAATTACAAAAAAAAAAATACCTTAAAATTTTATATAAATAATAACTCAACATGTTTTATTTTTGGATAATACAATTGTGGATCGATGTTCAAACTAATTTTCTCCTTCTTTTTTTTTATCTAGCACTATGCATGCGCATATACAACAAACTTAGTTTCTGCAATCGTCTGACAAATTGGATTGAATATGGATAATTCTTGGATCTATGAATTTTCGGTTTAGCAGAATTAACCAATTACTTCTGTTTATATTATTTGAAACTTTATAAATAGCAAAATAAACCACTTCAATCTATTGCAATTATTGTACAATACATTCTTCAACTCGTTTGCAAGAAAAATAAAATTAAAACTCACAAACCAAAATAATAAGCTAAGCTTAGATCTTCCTTTTCCTGATTCTAACAATCATCCACAACAAGTATTCACACACCCTTTTATAAATGTCATCACCCTAATCGTAGTTCTATAGTTTGTTCTTTATACGGATTCATCCGAGAAAGCAAACGAACAATTAGATGAACCTCGAGGAGTATTGACAATTTTCTCCGGTGGTAACGGTTGCGGCTGCCATTTTTCGCATTTTCCGCCTTTAATCATATCGGTTTCCGATCGCTCGATATCAAACTGCCTAATCTCTTTAAGCATTGCCACAATGTCTTTCATCATAGGCCGATCAGCTGCCTTATTGCTCACGCAAAGGAACGCGACCGCTAGAGTTTGTAGCATCTCATGCATTATGGGATCTGCTCGTCCGCGGAGTCTCGGGTCAAGAATTTCTCTAGGATCTTTCTTTCCGGCTAAATGATCTCTCACCCATTGAACCAAATGAGCACCACCGGGTAGATCCGGATCCAATGGATGCTTCCCGGTTAAAACTTCTAGTAGCACCACTCCATAGCTATACACATCACTCTTTTCGGTTATATGTTGCATTGAAGCATGTTCTGTAAACAAAAATAAAATAAAAGTCGTTATAAAATCTAAATATTGAAATCATTGACAATAACAACGTAAAAATCGAAATTTTGAATTTTACCTGGAGCCATGTAACCGTAAGAACCGGCTAACGGAGGCCGGTTACTCAATTTCGACGAATCTCCATCGATAACTCCCTCACCGGAGACGATTTTCGCTAAACCGAAATCGGCTAAGTAAGATTCGAACCGGGAACCCAACAAGACATTCATAGCTTTAACGTCACCGTGAAGAATCGGAGGTAAACAATCATGGTGAAGATAAGCAAGAGCATGTGCAACGCCTAAAGCGACGTCGTAACGTGCTTGCCAGTCAGCTCCTCCACTTCCTTTACCGGCACCATGAAGCAGAGAGCTTAAACTTCCGTTAGGAAGATAATCATAGAACAAGAGCTTCAGATTCCGGTTCGAACACCAACCCAAGAGACGGATTATGTTTCGATGTCGAATCGATCCAAGAGTGTTGATCTCTGAGTTAAACGCTCCGTTTTCTTCCTTTGACCACATTTTCTTCACGGCTAATGTTTCACCCGACGGGATTGTGACTCTGTAAACTACACCGGAGCTTCCAGTTCCGATCACGTTAGCTGAAGTTAGATTCTTGACGATGTCGTCGATGGAGAAATCGAGTTTTTGATAAAGAGTCACTTCCCAAGAATCTAGTTCCTCTTGTTTTCCGGCGACTTTTTGTGCTTTGACGAGAGTGTAAATCGCCATGAGAACAAGAACGACACTTGCGGCAACGAGGATCGACATGGTTAACTTCACGGCGGAGCGGTGTCGGGTTTGGATCCCATTCTCGGGTCGGGTCGAGATAAAAAGCCCTTTGTTTGATTCAAGAACAGAGAGTGGAAGTTTCCTGAAAAACAGAGTGTTTGGTAACTCGCCGGAGAATTCGTTGAAAGAGATGTTGAGTGAGACGAGATTCTGTAGATCAGCTAAGACGTTTAAGTTTCCGGTGAGTTTGTTGTGAGAGATATCGAGGGTTCCGAGATTAGTGAGGCTGGAGAATCTCGACGGGATCTCTCCGGCGAAGTTATTGCAGCTGAGATTCAGAGCTATAGCAAGAGACGGGATTCGTCCTAACTCGTTTGGGATTTCTCCGGTGAAGCCATTGTCGCCGAGGTTGAGAAGCTGTAAACTCCGACAAGAAGAGATCTCTCTAGGGATTTCGCCGGAGAATCGGTTTTTAGCGAGATTGAGCTTCGTGAGTTCGGTTAACGATCCGATTCCGGTTGGTAGAGGACCGGTTAACGAATTATCGGATAAATCGATGAATTGTAAGCTCTTCGGAAGTGTACCGGGTAAACCACCGGTTAAACCGTTTGAATGTAGATCGACGAATTCGAGACTTGTACAACCGGAGATCTCCGGAGGTATGTTTCCGATGAGACGATTCTCACTTATATCGATAAAGTTGATGTTTTTCAGATTCCCAATCTCCGCCGGAATATTCCCCGCAAGTCTGTTTCCGTTGAGTCTTAACCGGTAAAGATTCGTACAGTTTCCAATATCCGGTGGAATGAATCCAGATAAGTAATTAGAGAGAAGAAGAAGCTTCGTGAGGTTACGTATCTCAAAGATTCCATTAGGTATCGAACCAGAGAGATTGTTGTAAGAGAGATCGATCGCTTGAAGCTCTTGGCATTGAGAAAGAGACTCTGGAATTTTTCCGGTTAACTGATTCTGCCACGCGAAGAACATCGTCAAGCTTGTTAATTTTCCGATCAACGGTGGAATCTCGCCGGAGATTTGGTTGTTATCGATCTCTAAATGCGTCAGCTTCGTGCAATTCGCGAGCTCTTCAGGGATTGTACCGGAAAGTTGGTTAACGCTGAGCTGAAGTTCTTGGAGATTTGGAAGATTTCCGAAGCTTCTTGGGATGTTTCCGGTGAGGAGATTTTCAGATAAATCGACGAGGAAAAGCTCCGGACAGGTGCCTAGCTCGGTGGGTATTTTCCCGACGAGATTGTTTTGCCATAAGAGAAGACTTTGAAGCTTCTTGAGACGTCCCAATGATACAGGAATCGATCCAGAGATAGAGTTTTGGTACAAGTAGAGGTTTTGAAGCTCTGTGCAGTTTCCAATCTCATCAGGGATTGGACCAGACAAGAGTGACGTGTACAGAGCTATTGTCTGAACTTTTTTCAGGTTTCCGATCGACGCCGGAAGTTTACCGGAGAGACTTGTTTCGGCGAGACCTAAAGTCACAAGACTCTCGCAGTTACCAATCTCCCAAGGAAGCTCTCCTCTGAGATTCTTGTTCCCACCTGCACGGAAGATTTCTAGATTCTTGAGTTCTCCGATGGTTCTAGGAATCTCTCCGGCGAGTTTATTGTCGAAGAGAGTGAGCTCGACGAGGTTAACGAGATTCCCTAACTCCGATGGAATCACACCTTCGAGATTGTTTGTGTTGAGAGACAGAGTCTTGAGTTTCTTGAGCTTGAAGATTTCCACAGGGATTTCACCAGAGAGAGAATTATCAGCTAAATCAAGAACTTCTAACTCCGACAAGTCTCCAAGCTCTTTAGGGATTGAACCGGTGAGATTCACGGAGGTTAAACTGAGTAAAGTCAGAGACTTTAACTGCCGGAGATTCGTCGCCGGTAACGGACCTTGAAAATCCATGACTTGGAGTTGTATCTCCGAGACTTGACCTCTTTCGTTGCATCTGATTCCGACCCATTGACAAGGATTCGATTCGGAGGATTTCCAAGAAGATAAAGCGTCTCCGGAGATGTTTAACTGAGATTTCCATGAGAGAAGAGCTTGACCCTGTTCGTCTATGGAAAAACAGGGGATGAAGAAGAAAACAGAGGAGTGAAAGAGAAGGAAGAGGAAGAAGCAGAATCTAGGGTTACGTGGCATTGGTGAAGAAGAGGGAAAGGAGGAAGAAGAGAAGTGAGAGATAGAGAGAGAAGTGCGTTGGGATTGTGAAGCGAAGAACCCCATGGATTTGGTTTTTACTTTGTTTTTATAGAAATATATAAAAACAGAGCAAACCAAAGGAGAGAGAAGAAGAAGTAGTAAAGGAAGATCTGGATCCCAAAAAGCACCTCTACCTTTTTCCCTTTATTATTATTTTCCAAATTTTTTTTACTTTCATTCTCTTTATTTTTCCACCATTATTTGTTTTGTGAACAAAACAGAATTATATAAATTGAAATTGAGTTCAAAATATATGAGGAGTCAGGAGTGTGGTAAATATAGAAATGATGCATATTGCTGCTATATTTCATAAATGTTTTTATTTATTTTTATTCCTTTTATTCTTGTTAGTGGATTTATTTGTGGTAAATACTTTTAGATGAGGCATGCTGATAAAATTACTCATAAATGGTAATTAAAAAAATACTTTATTCTTAGTAATACAAAAAAAAACCCACAGTATATCATCTACAAGTTACAACTCCTATAAATCCAACTATTACATGAGTCGTAAATCATCTAGTAAGAAAGTTAGGTTATCAATTCAGAAAATGACATGTTAAAATTGGCCCTATTATTTTGTTATTTCTGGATGATTGTTATTTTGGAGAAACAAAAAGAAGATAATGTTACTCAAATCAATAATGATTTCTAGACTTCAAGTTACTAATAATGATATTTGTTGAATGCTGCTACTACTACTACTACTACAGTACTACTACCACCTATTATTGATAAACGATGCTTCACATAATTGGGTTTTTCTAATGCTTCGGAAAGAAAAATTATATAACTTTGGATTGTGATTATTTGTTTTTTACTTTAGGAGAGTCGGAAGTGGGTATATAGTGGTAAAAATGAAATAATAATAAAATCTAGTGACGGAAAGAAAGATGGAGATATCTACTTTGGTTTTCTGATATATATAAACTATTAAATTAGTAGTTGAAACATGGAATCTTGAAGAGAGTGAAATGCACATGCAAGCTAGGAATTTATGTGAAAGATTAATTCAATTTACTAATGCTCATCTCTGCTCACATTGTCGGTCCATTTCATTCGCTGTAATTATCTGTTTATGTATATATACATTTGCTCATACACATGCATATAGAACTAACAGCTATATATTTTGTATACCTTGTATATTAATAACAAAATTTACTCGAGATAACTATTGTAGATGTTCTTATCAAATTTAAGATACCAAAACTTAAAATATTAAGGTATAATTAGTAGTTGTTTTGAAAAAAATAATTAAGTTGTAATATAAATGGTTTTTACTTACCTTTTTTTAATTGCAATTCTAATTAATAGTTTGTAAGGTATTAAATTAAGATGACGCTGTCTAAATCCAATTTGTTGGACTGAAAATTTAGAATACTGATTAGAAAATTTAAGAAAGAGGAACTGGACAACAAAAAGATTATGGAAAAGATAAAGTAAATTAAAATTAAGATCATGGGTCAAGCATCATTAGGTCAAGAAGATTATATATAAAGATATAACACCACACCTCAAGTCACATGCCATAGTAGAATCAAAAGATTAAATATGTATCGATATATATAGAGAGATGGTCATGCATGTGCATATCTATACACATATTTACACTAAATATATACTAGTAAAGTGAGAGAAAGCATTTCGACAACATGGTTTTATTCTGCAGCTAATTAATTATGGAATAGTGTGTAGTGTGTACTCTAATTACCGTAAATTTCACTTAAAAACTCCTGATATTAATCATATACTGATGTAATATGTTTCGTAATATGTAAATTTTGTTGTACATTATAGACAACATATATTCTTTCATTTTAAAGAGTTACATTAATGGTAACAAGTAACAAGTTTCTTTCTCAAAAACACGAAAATCTCTTGCGGTCTACCACATTAATTTATATAACATGTACATACTAAATCATTTGCATATACAGTACTAGTGTCTTGAACCGATCAAACCTGAGTACTAGTGAGAGTAATGTGTTCTCAGGGGCGCGGTGGTACGTACAATGACCTCAACTTTAAGACCAAAAGATTGTGTAACGTTTTGATATCGACGTATGTACATATCTAGTGGCCAGTGGGAGGCATTTCATCATTTGGACTCAGCCAGCTCCAACGTTTTGTCAAACCTTGATCTAACTTCTTTCTTTGGTTTATAACTTATACTATTGTTTAGTTTTAATAGATATAAAAGAGACGAACATGTGTGGGGAGAGTTAAATGAATATGGTCCATAAAGAGGAAAAATAAAAGGGAAAATAATAAGACCAAAAAACAAAAACCAACAAACAAGAAGGAAGTAAAGAGACAGCAAAAGATGCAAAAGAAAAGACAAGCACCCAACTGTATTTTCCAAACTTGTGAAAATTTATATTTCTTTCTCAAATCTTATGATTATCATTAAATGGTCCATATTGTTCTTTTGCCTATCGCATCTATCGTTATTTGAAATAGTGTCGACAATTAATGACTAGTTATAACTAAGCAGTTCCAAATCATACATGGTCACTTGAGGCCAGGGGAAAAATGACATATTTTTAGTTATTATACTAATTAGGTGTTCCATTGTCGTAATCAAGACTACATCTTTATTTCACTTGTATGCGATGAGTTTCATTATAATGAAGTGTGATGGTTTTAATTACTTTTAAGAAAGTTAATAGTGATGATAACAATTAAGATAAATTAAAAGATGTAGACTTGATTACGACAATGGAACAAGATCTGGATCTATATCACGTTTCGATTAGGTCAGAGATCTCACCACATGATGATATAGAGCAATATATAGAAAATACATCTACGGGTATATATGCAACTTAGGTTAAACCTTAGTTCAAAATCAAATTAAAAATTACGAATAAATGTTTTAAAAAAAAACTTAGCTCTTTATTTTTCAGTTAGTCATGAGTCTCTAAAACAAGATATAATTATAATTCAAGATTGTGCCTAGAGAGCAAGGCTATATGAAACAGTCCCTTATATAATACTAGTAAGCATTCAGTATTACAATTTCGTAAACGTTTTCAAAATATAAAATGGTTTAGTTTAAATCATTTGGGGCCTCAAAAACCGGTAGTTACATCTTATTATGTATACGCATTTGGAATCTTGGATTGAGTTATAAGCTCTGTTTAGTGGATAAATCAGCGCTAAGTGAGTGTTATAAATTAATTAAGTTGGATCTGATCGATGATGGGCAATTTTGTACTTGTTTTTTTTCCTGTTAATTAAGTAATACAAGCATTTGTCTGTATCAAATTTATAAATTCAATTATAATAATAAAAACTGGTCCATTGTGGGGTATTTAGTAGCAGAAGCAGTCCAAGAATGTAGTGGCAGAAGTACAGAAGTGTGAAAAGAAGTGGGCATCGATCAAAACAACTTATTTATTTGTTAATTTGTCGATCCAATGAATATAACATATATTATGGTTGATCATGATAATGCTACGTCTTATGAGTGGCCATGTTGATAAAATTCCATTGGTTGTAACCACTCATACGACTACGAAGACACTGTAGTATGAGAACATTTATATACATTAATACATGCTGATAATATGGAAAACCAACCAATCCTTTGGTTCGCTTTGTCGTGACATATTCAATATAGTCAATATAAACTTTTTTGGGTGGTTAATATTATCAAAGTAAAGAAGTTTTTGATGAGGTTATAGATAGAGCATAGTTAAACTATATTATGAAAAAGATGTGACGCATTCAATTAGTTGTCGCAATTGGTGTATGCGAGGGGGTTGAGTCGGGCTTGAATGATGCGAGCGATCTCTTCGAAGAACGAAGTTGCGGGACAATTGATTCAATGAAATATATAGTCAATATATAATCAAAGCTCATACACATTTCATTTCAAAAACAAAATCCAATATATGTGATGTATCATGTATCATTTGGTTAAATTATACCGACAAAGAAAATGAGCCATGGAATGTATCAACTATGAAAAAACTAATCCACACGCACATATAGGAATGTGATGATTTCTTTTGTCGAGGACATATAGGATGATATAGTTACATAAAACTTATTATTACTAATTTGGGACATCTCCTTATCAAGTGTGAACCCTATTATATATAGTTTGTTGTGTATAATTGATTTAGTAAAGTGTATATTTACAAAAACTGATATATATGCATGAATGTGTGTAAGTAGACATTTTGTGTTTGTAGGTATGTATGATGTGAAATGAGATGGGGCCAATGATAATGAGATATGGCTTTAAGAGGGAAATCATAATAGTGACCTTTTTTTGTGATGACAACAACCACACGTGCTCTCATTCCTTCTACCAAAGGATTGCCACTCGCCTTCGTTGCACCTTTTACTCCAATTATTTCAGAACCAAATGAAATTTCTCAATCCTAGTGTTTAGATCGAAACTCAAAACTCTTTCTTTTTAACTTCATTTCATTGATGTTAACTCTTTTTTAACTAGCTCAAGTACTTAGTTGTTAACATTCTCATGTAGACACCAAAGCAATCTATAATTTTTGTAACTTATTTGTTCAAAATCAACACGTTTATGTATTATGAGAACTATGAAGAGAGAATATATATAGGATGTCATAAGAGAAATATATGTTAAAATAAAACACATAATTCAGTTGAAACTCAATTTTCATGAAACATTCCCTAGTCTTAATTAACTTTTAAGTTTTAACTAAACTGACCAGATAGTTTTCTTTAACTTTGTTACTTTTAAGTTTTAAGTTTTATCAATAAAAAGAAACTACACCATCAAACTTTCTTGGTCAACAAATATGTTTTGGAAATATATAATATGATTATGAGTTTTTTATTTTATTTTTAACATCTATGATTATATGAGTTTATATTCACCTTTCACTCTTTTTCTTTGTCCTTTAATCCTTTCCGCAATCCTGTTAATTAGATTTTCAGCCTTTTTTTTTTCCTTTCCGCTTCATATTGTCTAATATTTCTTTTCTTCTTTTTACCATCATGCTAATTTTTTCTATCTTAGTTATTTTAATAGTACATATTTAAGTTATTGCGTGACCATGAAAAATTCTCACCGTGAAAACCAGCTTTTAAAACTGCCTTTTTGTTATTTTTTTACTTTTTCATATCTCTTTTTACAGAATAAGAAATAGAGAAAAAACAAAGTGTTGTTTTTAGAAAAGATTAAAAATAACACAACACTAACTTGATGTGTCTTTAAAACTAACATTGCTTAGTGGAGAAGTTGGGCAATTGCAATCAATTAATCTTTTTAACAAATATTTAATTTAATGAGATTAATGGGCCTTTGCTGTTTATGGATCATAATATAAAATGGATGATATTACGTGTGATGAAAGGTGTAAATTAAAGGGTCAAATATTCTTCCGTATTTCCAGGACTCGGGTTTCTCGCTCACATTAAATTAAACTCTAAAGTCTAAACATAAAAGAAAGTATAATCTAATACATCAATAATTGTTTACATCAAATGCTTAAATTTTTATATGAATTTCTCAATGATAATATTGCTAGTCCAAATTTTTTCCAAGAATGAATACATGCATGAGTATGTAGATACGATGCTTCGGAAGTTCAATTTAACTAAGGTGAGTATAATCTTTAAATATTAGCTGAAATCGATGGTAATTACTCCTATATACAAAATAGCGAACAATAATAATTTGTTAAGAAAACAGAAAGGTGCCAAAAACAAAAGAAAAATGAAAAATACGACTATTGAAAAGAAATATGTTAGTCAATAGGCTCCCTTGTCTTAACCTAACATAGCCTTTGCTTTAACTAAAGATTAAAGAGTTTCACTTGCACTAATGCCAAGTTCGTGGTATTATATTTCTCAACTAACGGTCAAATTTTGAACCAAAAGCAATGTGGGGGTTTCCCTTAATTAATTTTGACATTAATAAATAACAAATTAAGGCATAATCTTGCATTATTGGTGATCTTTTGTATCAAAAAGCCAGTCTCTAATATTGACGAGTCTTTTTGACTGATGGGGCCTATTTTAAGGCCCAAAGTATTCAATAACGGACCTTTTGGGCCCCGCTAAAAGATTTGTTTTTTTTTTGCCAATTGTTTGCGCACTTTTCAGTAAGAGATGTATGCCAATCTAGTAAACTCAGTGAAAACATTTTAATCTATATGTAGTAACTTTTTTTCCATAAATCTGATGCAACAATTCACAGACAAGTCACTGAAGCTAACTCTTAACCCTAGAGAAAGTATCCACCAAGCAACTTTTCAAATTCCACACCTCATCCAGTGGCTAGTGATTTAAACCAATTTGGCAGAAAGAATCAAAATAGAAGAGTTACTACAATTTTGATCAAAAAAAAAAAAAAAAAAAAAAAAAAAAAAGAAGAGTTACTACAACAAAACTGTCTTTGAGCCTTTGCACCAACATATTTTACCATATTTTTCATTTAATCACTGTTGAAGATCTTTCATCTTTCTTTATACACCAGAGAATCAAGTTATTTTGCTTACTTTCTTCCAATAGAAAGCTCATCTCCCAAACATTCTGAAGACGGAGGAGGTAAGGGTAGAACTGAGGAACTTCATTCCCGCTGATCCACCAGGGAAGTATGATATACAGTAGTAAGCCAGTGCAACAACCTATGGATTCACAGAGAACAAATACAAGAGTTTTTCTTATGAGATTACTTTACTTACAGAATGTGCATATGTATGAGTATTCTTTAAACCAACATGAAGGAACTGTTTTACTGAGTTATAAACGTATATATTTTGGTCTAGTCCAGATCGAAAACGGGTGAGTAATAACAAATCAAAGCTATTTCATTTCTGTCCAAAGTAAGTAAATTTGCACAACAATAGGTTGAAGTAAATAAAAGATATAAAACAAGCCAAACAAAACAACCAGAGATATGGCATTTACAGTTTCTTCATACTAACTCTACTAGTATTTACAAACAGCACTAAGAAAAGTCTAAATGTTTGTTACTTCAACCCATTATGAAGCGGTAAATGTTTTTTGACATATGAAAAACAGAGTATATATGAAGCGGTAAGAGTCGAGAAGGTCAATGAAATTTAGTACCTGTAATGCAGAGAAAATCACAGAGAGAATGTAGCTATGGAGCACCATCGAGACATATATGGTGCCAACCATGGTAGCTATGAAACCTAAAGTTAGTGGAAGCCTCTGGAGAAGCCAACAAACAACAAATTAAAATTTAAAAGAGAAAATGTAATGATATACATCAGATATAAGAATCTGCACAACACAAGGTCTTGTTATTACCTCTGCTGATGACATGTGAGCGAGTTGATTTTGCGGGCCACGAAGAGCGAAGAAAGATCCGATGATAAACCCACATCCAAGGGTAAAACAAATTGCAAACTTCTGTGGCATAAGCACCATGACTGGAAGAAACATGGTGAAGGCAATGAAGATGAAGAATACACCACTTGCTAGAAGTAAACCGAAATACATCAAAGCTTTTCCTGAAGGCATACTACTTGTTGCAGACTGCAGGTTATCTCTAACTCCTTTCGAAACACTGTTAACAAATTCAGATTCGGGTACAATAAGTTTCGAAATCGAAAAGTTGGTAACACTTCAAGGAAAAGGTATGTTTTGCAAAATCAAGAAAAAGAGTTAAGGAAACACAGAAGATTCTTGGTAACAAATGACAGTATGCTTAAGACTCTTATCAATTCTAAGCCATTGAGAGAAGACACTGATCAAAATCATTCACTAACAATAGCTTCAAACCCTGAGAATTTGTAAACCTGATCAACGAATCTGGCAAAGCTTAAACTCTTTAGTAAATCACAATTTCTCAGATTCCAGATTTAGTTACACCAACCAAAAACACCTAATTGCTCAGATACGGTCACAATCCATCGTTAGAACCCTAGAATTAAGAGAAAGAGATAGATCGCTTACACATTAAAGGTGCCGGAGACAGTGCTGTTGGCAGATCTAACGGCGGATTCGATATCGAAGCCTAAAGCTCCGGTATCTTCTTCAAAATCTCTCGAAGCTGCGTAAGAGTTCCAATCAGCTAGCAGAGACGTTCCTCCTGTTTGCTGCGGCTGCTGCTGCTGATCTCCGCTGCTACTAGTGCCGCTCATCGAAAACCATCCTTTGGCCATCTCCATTTCGTTGTGAATTATTGGAGCAATGTTTCGAGGAATTCAAATAGTTGAATACAGATGTTCGGTGGTTTACGTCGGAGTTGAGAAAATCGGTAGACGTAATTGAGGAAGAAGGCTCTGTGAAGGAACCGTCAACCGTCGCCTTAAACGGCAGCGTTTTGATTTTTTTTGCGTTTTTGTTTCTCTATTTTTGTTGTAAGGATTGTTTCATTTTTTTAACTTTACCTTAACAATGAGCAATGCTGAACCCAAGTATTGCTCATTACCTATTCATTCATACACAAACAGTTATTATGGTCTGAAAAATATGTAACTGTGTTGTGATTAGGAATTTGTTAAAATTCGGAGCTGCTTCACGTCATTCTAATTAGCAAACCATAATCATACAACCTACCTAACAAAAAAAGCTTGGATTTTGCAAGAAACAGAGTGCCTTGAGCATAATAGAGAATCTTTGTCATAACGAGTTCAGAGAAAATCATCATGATCACCAAAATATTGTTTCTAACGAAAAGATAAAAAGAAAATGAAAACCAAAGTCTCAACACAGCTAAAAAGTAAATCGACTTTGTGTGATAATTTAGTCGACTTCCTCCATCTTGCTACCTTCAGCATCAGCATCGTCTTCAAGGGGAGGCATCTCAGCATCGGCTTCAACAGCATCATCTTCATCAATGCTCAATCCAAGCTTCAACATCCTGTGAATCCTGCTCCCGAATGTGTTGGGCTCATCGAGACTGAAACCAGAAGTGAGAAGAGCGGTCTCAAAGAGGAGAAGCACAAGGTCCTTCACAGATTTGTCATTCTTGTCTGCTTCAGCTCTCTTTCTCAGCTCGTCCATGATGGAGTTCTCAGGGTTAATCTCCATTGTCTTCTTGCTAGACATGTAACCACCCATGCTGCTGTCTCTCAAGGCTTGCGCTTTCATGATCCTCTCCATGTTTGCAGTCCAGCCATACTCGCCTGTTACAAGACAGCAAGGTGAGTCCACCACACGGTCAGAAACGATAACCTTCTCGACCTTGTCTCCCAAAACGTCCTTGATCACTTTGCAGAGTCCCTCAAACTTCTCCTTGAGCTCTTCTTTCTTCTTCTTCTCGTCTTCAGTCTCTTCCAGTTTCAGACCTTCCTTTGTTGCAGAGACAAGCTTCTTTCCCTCGAATTCCTTGAGCTGACCAATTGCGTACTCATCAATCGCATCAACCATGTAGAGGACTTCAATCCCCTTCTTCTTGAGCTTCTCAAGGAATGGAGAGTTCTCAACAGCCTTCTTGCTCTCACCAGTGATGTAGAAGATATCATTCTGACCTTCCTTCATCCTTGTCACGTAGTCCTTGAGACTGGTCAATTCATCACCACTCTTGGTTGAGTGGTAACGGAGCAACTCAGCAATCTTGGTTCTGTTTTGGGAATCCTCGTGGATACCGAGCTTCAGGTTCTTAGAGAAAGCCTCGTAGAACTTGTTGTAGTCCTCCTTGTTCTCGGCAATCTCAAAGAATAGCTCAAGGCACTTCTTCACAAGGTTCTTGCGGATGACCTTGAGGATCTTGTTCTGCTGCAATGTTTCTCTCGAGATGTTGAGAGGAAGGTCTTCAGAGTCAACAATACCCTTGACAAAGCCAAGGTATTCAGGAATGATGTCTTCACAGTTGTCCATGATGAAGACACGGCGGACATAGAGCTTGATGTTGTTGGGCTTCTTCTTAGTGTCAAAGAGATCGAAAGGAGCTCTCTTGGGAACAAACAAGATAGCTTTGAACTCAAGCTGTCCCTCAACAGAGAAATGCTTCACAGCCAAATGCTCCTCCCAATCATTGCTCAAACTCTTGTAGAAAGCAGCGTACTCCTCCTTGTTGATTTCCTCGGGCTTCCTCATCCAAATCGGTTTCTGCTTGTTCACCAAATCCCATTCATGAGAAACCTCCTTAATCTTCTTCTTTTTCTTCTCCTCCTTTTCTTTCTCCTCATCTACTTCCTCGACCTTGCCTTCCTCATCCTTCTTCTCTTCCTCCTCTTCATCATCAGAGATCTCCTTCTCAATAGTCTTCTCAATCCAGAGAGAGATTGGGTAGCTGATGAACTCAGAGTGCTTCTTCACCAAATCCTTAAGCCTTCGCTCCTCAAGGTACTCCAACTGGTCTTCCTTGAGGTAAAGGACCATCTTTGTTCCTCTACCAAGAGCCTCACCAGAGGTGTCTCTGGTCACAGTGAAAGATCCACCGGCCTGAGACTCCCACACATACTGCTCATCGTCATTGTGCTTGGTAGTGACAACAACCTTATCAGCAACCAAGTAAGCAGAGTAGAAACCAACACCAAACTGACCAATCATGCTAACATCAGCTCCAGCAGCCAATGCCTCCATGAATTCCTTGGTACCAGATCTCGCAATCGTTCCAAGGTTGTTGACCAAATCTGAACAATACAACAAAAAACGTATTAGCCAACACACACCAAACACATAGATGCAAAAATAATCAACAAATCCTATACAAATTGCTTATAGATGAAAACAATTACGTACCAGCTTTAGTCATCCCAATACCACTATCAATAATGGTCAAGGTGTTGTTAGTCTTGTCGGGAATGATGTGAATGAAGAGCTCAGGCTGACCATCGAGCTTGCTCTTGTCAGTCAAAGACTCAAACCTAATCTTGTCCAAAGCCTGTTTCACCAGAATAAAATCACAATCGTAAGTAACCAATACACAGAACATATATACATATAAGCTATAAGCAATCCAAAACTTGGTACTCTAACAAGTGTCTGCTAAGTCCTAGGTAACAACACCAAAACTAATCAACAGGTTTGTACACAAAAAAAGCTTCGCAACTTCAATTAACAACCACAATTCTCAGATCGGAAGGAACACTAAACCCTAATCAAACCTAAATCTACAGATCGATGAGCCAAATCAACAAAACAAGACAAACAAAGATAAAAAAGACAGAGAGAGATAGAGATCGTACATCAGAAGAGTTACTGATGAGTTCACGAAGGAAGATCTCCTTGTTGGAGTAGAAGGTATTGATGATGAGGGAGAGCAACTGGTTGATCTCAGCTTGGAAAGCAAAGGTTTCTGCGTCCGCCATTATCGTTGATCGGAAAAAATCTAAGAGCTAGGGTTTATGAATCAAATCGAGAGAAAAAAAAAAGCAAAATTTTCTTGAGAGAGCAGAGAAGTATTGATGCGAGATTTAGGAGGAGAAGTAAATTATATATATAGTGGTGTGGGAACCTCCATAAGGGTTTCTAGATCCTTCGTTTTCCTTTAATTTTTTTGTGAACTACTTACAAGGTTTTCTAGATCCTTCTCCAAGTAGGATTTGATTATATGCTAATTTGCTAATCTTAAAACTTTGTCCACATATCTGCGTCAATTAAATGGAAAATAACAAAATTCAAAATTTTAATTATGTGTAATTTTACTTTCCTTTTTTTTCGGGGAACAGGTGTAATTTACTTTTTTTTTTTGGAACATGTTTTAGTTTACTTCTTTTTCTTTTTGTTAATTTTGTAATTTACTTTTTTTTTTGTTGATGATAATTTACTATTATTAAAAAAAACAATATTACCAGATTACGACTTTTGTTATTTTTTACTGTTTTCAAATTACCAGATTGGTATGTGTATCTCTTAAAAATTAAGTAAATATCAACAAAAGAATCCCTTATATTAAAAACTGTTAAAAAAATTGTATTAAAATAATTACAAGAAGAAAACACATAGTTCTAGAAAAGAGTGGGGCATGTGTGAAGAAAAAATTGTTTACAGATTTTTTAAAAACTTCAAAATTGATGTAAGTTATTTGTATTAATATATGCAAATATATATATCCTACCAAAAAAGATATATGCAAATATATTATTCATTTTGTTGTTCTAAAATTCATAAAAAAAAATTTTACATAGTTAGAAATTTCAAATATCTTGCTTCTTAGCTGAAACCAATTAATATCATCGACTTCAAAAACTAACCCAAAACTAAGACCGACTTTAAAAATCCAAACCTAGAGAATAGAATAACAATGAACTTAGAAATTCAAATCCATTGCGAAATTGAATTCAACATCAAACTTAAATCCAAAACACAAATAAACTATACTACAAATCTCAAACCTAAAATCAAATTTACCACCAACAAGCAAACATTAAATTTCTAAATCTTCATTTAATTTCTAATTTTAACATCTTATATTCTTGTGTGACAACTAATCAAAGTTCGATTGGAAAATTCAGGGGAAAAAAGTGAAATTTGCATTACAAAATAAATTCTAGGAGAATATATGTTTTTGCTCAACCATAAAAATTTTCTCATAAATCTTTTAGAAGAATAATTTCTAACATGTTACTAGTATTTTTTTAATATATTTCTTTGTTGAAAAACAAAATAAAAAGGCCTGCATAATGTATATATTTTTTTATATGGAAAAACATAAAATACTAACTAATTTGACCAAAAAAAAAAAAATACAGTACTAACTAAAAAAAAAAGTAAATTGCACCTGTTCCAAAGAAGAAAAGGAAAGTAAAAAACTAAAAATTATGATACTTTTATATTTTATAATTTCCATTATATCATGACGTCGGTATCCACATCCTCTATATATATATACACACTTCTCCTCCTTAAATTTAGTATCAATACTTTCTCTGCTTCTCTTAAGAATTGCTTTTGCTCTCAATTTGATTCATAAACCCTAGTTCTTAGATTTTTTTCCGATTAGCGATAATGGCGGACGCTGAGACTTTTGCTTTCCAAGCTGAGATCAACCAGTTGCTTTCCCTCATCATCAATACCTTTTACTCCAACAAGGAGATCTTCCTCCGTGAACTCATCAGTAACTCTTCCGATGTACGATCTCTCCCTCTCTATCTCTCTATGTTTTTCTCTTAGATTAATGTGTTTCGTGTATCTCCTTCGATTGATTTGGCGGATCTATATGTAGATTTAGGTTTTATTAGGGTTTAGTGTTCTTTTCGATTTGAGAATTCGTTTGTTGATTGAAGTAGCGTACCTGTATATGCTCAAATCTGTTTATTAAGTTTAGTGTTGTTAGATTACCAAGTTTTTTTTATTGTATATAGCTTATTTGTATATATGTTCTGTGTATTGGTTGCTTATGATTGAGATTTTAATTTTGTGAAACAGGCTTTGGACAAGATCAGGTTCGAGTCCTTGACCGACAAGAGCAAGCTCGATGGACAGCCTGAGCTTTTCATTCACATCATTCCCGACAAGACTAACAACACCTTGACCATTATTGATAGTGGTATTGGGATGACTAAAGCTGGTACGTAATTGATTTCAGCCTAAAGCAATTTGTTTGGATTTTTTGCATCTCTGTGTTTGTTTAGTTGACTTATGCGTATTTGTTCTGTTTTACAGATTTGGTAAACAATCTTGGAACAATTGCAAGATCTGGTACCAAAGAATTCATGGAAGCATTGGCTGCTGGAGCTGATGTTAGCATGATTGGTCAGTTTGGTGTTGGTTTCTACTCAGCTTACTTGGTAGCTGACAAGGTTGTTGTTACTACCAAGCACAACGATGATGAACAGTATGTGTGGGAGTCTCAGGCCGGTGGATCTTTCACTGTCACCAGAGACACCTCTGGTGAGGCTCTTGGTAGAGGTACAAAGATGGTCCTTTACCTCAAGGAAGACCAGTTGGAGTACCTTGAGGAGCGCAGGCTTAAGGATTTGGTGAAGAAGCACTCTGAGTTCATCAGCTACCCAATCTCTCTCTGGATTGAGAAGACCATTGAGAAGGAGATCTCTGATGATGAAGAGGAGGAAGAGAAGAAGGATGAGGAAGGCAAGGTTGAGGAAGTAGATGAGGAGAAAGAAAAGGAGGAGAAGAAAAAGAAGAAGATTAAGGAGGTTTCTCATGAGTGGGATTTGGTGAACAAGCAGAAACCGATTTGGATGAGGAAGCCAGAGGAAATCAACAAAGAAGAGTACGCTGCTTTCTACAAGAGTTTGAGCAACGACTGGGAGGAGCATTTGGCTGTGAAGCATTTCTCTGTTGAAGGACAGCTTGAGTTCAAAGCTATCCTCTTTGTTCCCAAGAGAGCTCCTTTCGATCTCTTTGACACTAAGAAGAAGCCCAACAACATCAAGCTCTATGTCCGTCGTGTCTTCATCATGGACAACTGTCAAGACATCATCCCTGATTACCTTGGGTTTGTCAAGGGTATTGTTGACTCTGAAGATCTTCCTCTCAACATCTCAAGAGAAACATTGCAGCAAAACAAGATCCTCAAGGTCATCCGCAAGAACCTTGTAAAGAAGTGCCTTGAGCTCTTCTTTGAGATTGCTGAGAACAAGGAGGACTACAACAAGTTCTACGAGGCTTTCTCTAAGAACCTGAAGCTCGGTATCCATGAGGACTCTCAAAACCGAACAAAAATCGCTGAGTTGCTCCGTTACCACTCAACCAAGAGTGGTGATGAATTGACTAGTCTCAAGGACTACGTGACAAGGATGAAGGAAGGTCAGAACGATATCTTCTACATCACTGGTGAGAGCAAAAAGGCTGTGGAGAACTCTCCCTTCCTAGAGAAGCTCAAGAAGAAGGGTTACGAAGTCCTCTACATGGTTGACGCTATTGATGAGTATGCAATTGGTCAGCTCAAGGAATTTGAGGGAAAGAAGCTTGTCTCTGCAACCAAGGAAGGTCTGAAACTGGAAGAGACTGAAGACGAGAAGAAGAAGAAAGAAGAGCTCAAGGAAAAGTTTGAGGGACTCTGCAAAGTGATCAAGGACGTTCTGGGAGACAATGTTGAGAAAGTTATCGTCTCTGACCGTGTTGTGGACTCACCATGCTGTCTTGTTACGGGCGAATATGGCTGGACCGCAAACATGGAGAGGATCATGAAAGCTCAAGCTTTGAGGGATAGCAACACGGGTTCTTACATGTCAAGCAAGAAGACTATGGAGATTAACCCAGAGAACTCCATCATGGACGAGCTGAGAAAGAGAGCCGATGCAGACAAGAACGATAAGTCTGTGAAGGATCTTGTGCTTCTTCTCTTTGAGACCGCTCTTCTCACTTCTGGTTTCAGCCTCGATGAGCCCAACACTTTTGGAAGCAGAATCCATAGGATGTTGAAGCTTGGATTGAGCATTGACGATGATGATGCCGTTGAAGCCGATGCTGAGATGCCTCCACTTGAAGATGATGCTGATGCTGAAGGTAGCAAGATGGAGGAAGTCGACTAAATATTGCACAAAGTCGACTAAAATATTAGCGGTGTTAAGACTTTTGATTTTTTTCTTCTTTATCTTTGAGTCTGGAATTGTTAGATCAAAAGTGGAATTGTTTGAAGTTAACCTTTTCTAGTTTTATGATCTCAAGCTCTCTTATTTGCTATGCACAACTCCGAGCTCATTTTCTGTTCCATGACCCTCTTAAAGGAGCCACTGATAAACCTAGTGTAGTGTTCCTTGGACTCTGCAATGACCTGGCATAATACTAGTTGCAAGAAACTGTGAGTCTGTGACAGAGACCAGTAGAAATTTTTACCTAATACAGATTCTAGATTAACTGCAGATACGGCGTAGCGATCACTGGAGGTCTCACAAGAGGCTAAGGCAGTTAGAAAAAGCACGTAAACGAGCACCCAGCTGATCGCGACACAACTCAGTTTTTACTAGTTTTGCTTACAATCTATAAATCCAATGAATTAATATCAAAAGCAAACTCAAATAACCAAAATACACAGGTTGAAGCAAATCTTTTTACTTGGATTAATAAACTTAAGAACTTTACATACCATAAGATGCAAAAGCTGTATCTACAACTAGGCCGAGCGAAATCAAAAAGGGCCTAAAAAAAAGAATTTTCGCTTAACAGAAAAAGCTCAAAAAAAAAAATGAGTTCAGAGATAAACCAAATAAGCAATTATGTGATTTATAGATTCAATCCTCGTTACATAATTAATTTGGAGATGAGAAACTTGGTGGGCAAGTCACTTCCTCTGTATTAATGGGGAGGGTTTTAGGTGGAGAAGATCATCAATTCTTCAATTAGGATTTTTTTTTCCCTTTCTAATTCTCTAGCTTTCCCCTAACGACACATAATTAATGTCTCTGCTTATCAACCAGCCCTCGAAGCTACTATGCTTTGGGAGGAAACGACCTGTGTTGGTAAGATCATCTCCACTTCTCAATAATAGCTTCTCATCTTCCTTCCCGAAATATTTACCTTGTATTGTGATCCTCGCTGATCCTTGTGGAGGGGGTCGTGGAAGAGCCCTGACTAGGTGGCATAATGGTGGTCCCAAGCTTACTTTGGAAGAGATTCGAAAGAAGTTAGATAATGGTCTAAAGTTGTGTAGGGAGTTGGATAAGGAATTGGGAACAATAGGATCATCCAATGGATGGCTACCTACTTTGAAGGAAGGTGTGTTGGCTCTCCGAGACATGAATCTAAATCCGAAACGCATTTTGCTGCCTCCTCTTGTAGCTCTTCCTCATTGCCAAACCCAATATGTCACCAACGTGGCCATGTCCTCATCTTCTCCTGAGGATGAAGACTGTGTTGTGGCTGTCAAGTTCTTGGGACCTCAAATCAGCTTTTGCAGACCGGCTCAAAGTAACCCCGAGTGGATCAACATCAGAATCGAAAACCCCTGCTTCTTCTCCTCCCCTGTCATATTTTCAAAGAAAAAAGACATGTTTCGCATAGTCGGCTCTGGAGGCCACCTCATCGGATCATGGGATCTCCACAAACCTAGCAAGAACCCCAAGTTGCAAAGCTTGCGGTTTCAAAATCTTCCCAAGCTGACCATGACCAAACAAGACCTTCTGGATTCGTGCTACACAAGCGAACACTTGGTGGAGTCAAGAACCACCGGTGAAACTTTCTTAGTTAAGGTGTATAAGATAACCACAATGATCGGCCAAGGTTATCCGATAATGAAAACACAAGCAGTAAAGGTCTTCAAGGTAGATGAAGATGGAAACGCTGTTTACACTCAAGACATCGGAGATGAAACCATATTCCTCACAAATTCTGAAGCTTTATGTGACCCTCTTAGCACCTCTCTCTCCTGGGATCTACCTAACTACGTCACAATCTTTGATCTGGACGAAGACATTACGGTCGAGCTGGCTGATCAAAAGTAGAATTGTTCGAGACCTCAGTCTCCCAACTTATAATATTCCACCAAGTGGCGATGGGTTTGTGTCTAGAGTCTCATCTCTTTCTTTAAAACCTTTCAAACACCAAATCTATTTTTATATAAAGCTTTGCATTGAAATTAAACTTGATTATGGGTTAAGCTTAATATATAATGTATTCATAATCTAATTATCCTTTATTGGAAGGAACCCCAAGTCAAGCCCAAGTTCTTGAATTTCTCAAGAAACTTTACAAAAAATCATCACCCTTCTCTAAATGGTTTTGTTCTATTAGTTAACTATCTAGATATTTATGTAGAAAATTCTAGATATTGTAAGACAAAAATCTTGATACTATGGTAGAGAATTTTGGAGATTAGGATAAAGCTTGTAAGACATTTTGTAGTTTTGGAGCCTATAAATAGCTCTCTCTTCCTCCCATTTATAATCAAGGTGAATAAAAAGCAAGATCAAAGAAATAGTATTATTCAATGTGTTCTTCCTTATTTTTCTTCATACTTGAAGGTAATACTTATCTTGGGTTTTTTTCGAGTTTCTCGAGTATTACGATCTTGCGCTAGTGCTAGCTATCGGGTTTCGTTACACTTTGCTGTCTCCCAACTAATTATTCTTAAAGTATGTCCAGTTAGCTATATACGTACATACAGAGAAAAACTGACTACGAGCCATTTGATCACAAGGTGTTCTTTGTGTTGTCACTTTAGAAAATACACTTTCAACGGACTTGGGATCATAAGTCCATGGAGGATCTTATACAAATTTTCCCAAGGTTCTAGTACAGCTATAACATATATATCTATGGTGTGCAGGATCTTCAAATTTCCCGATTTGTCTTCTTTTTCCCGCAGTACATTAGGTATCAATGATCTTATGTGTATGATGCATACCCTGGGCCATACCACCCTCAGCATCCACACCTTTGTAATGTTTTTAATTTTTTTTTATAAAGAAATTACAATGATTTACATATGGTAAAAAATTCTCAATAAAATTACTTGTGGAGATTTGAGAAGCTGTAAAACGTATTGCCTCTGAACATGATTACAATTAGTATGCAGTCTAGGGTCTCCTCAAGATCTTATGACCATGTCTATTTATAAATTTATAATGTAGAGACCATTATCAGTATCCAAATTTTAACCATTCAGTACCACATACAACAAATTAAGACTACGCAACGCATCAGTCTTTTGGCACCTTGGGTTCCATCTTCTTTGTGAGCGAATGAAAATCAAACGAAAGAGATTATAATGGTATGGAATCAGAATGCTACCTCCGAGAGTTAATGAGAATTCAAAATGGGAAACTTGATGGGCAAGTCACTTCCTTTTGTATTAATGTAGGGTTCTTGGTGAGAGAAGATCGCTAATTCTTCAATTAGGGTTTTTTCCCCTTTCTTACCTCTTCTACTTTTTGCAAGAACATTATTCATGTCTCTGCTTCTCAACCATCCCTCGAAGCTCTGCTTTCGGAAACCCTTGTTGGTAAGATCATCTCCTCTTCTCTCTAATGGCGTCTCATCTTCCTTGCCGCAAAATCCACTTTCTGTCATCATGTACGATGATTCTTGTGGAGCTGATCTCGGAAAACTCGTCATTAGGAGGGCTGGTCACATCACTCCTCTTGAAAAGAAGATGCCTCTTAAGGAAATGGGAATGATTGGATCATCCAATGGATGGCTAGCTACTCTCAAGGACGGGTTCGTGGGTCTCCAAGACGTTGATCTAAACCCGGTTGCATCGGATACAGATCCTAAACACATTTCTCTGCCTCCTTTTGTAACTCTGCATCATTGCCAAACCCAAATTGTCACCAACGTGGCCATGTCCTCGTCTTCTCCAGAGGAGGAGGACTGTGTTGTAGCTGTCAAGTTCTTGGGACCTCAAATAAGCTTTTGCAGACCGGCTCAACGTAACCCCGAGTGGATCAACATCAGAGTTGGAAGCCCCTGCTTCTTCTCCTCCCCTGTCATGTTTTCCAAGAAAGATGACATGTTTCACGTACTTGGATCTGGAGGCCACCTCATTGAATCATGGGATCGCCACACACAAACGCACAAACCCAAGTTTCATAGATTTTGGTTCAAAACGAGTCCCAATCTGACCAAGGCCAACAAAGAGCTTCTTGATTCGTGTTGCAAGAGTGAACACTTTGTGGAGTCAAGAAACACCAATGAAACTTTCCTGGTTAAGCAGTACAAGAAGACCGCAGAGATCATCAATGGTATTGCCAGAATGAAAACAGTAGCTTTAATGGTGTTCAAGCTAGACAAGATAGCACACCTTTTTTACACTCAAGACATTGGAGATCTCTGCATTTTCCTCACAAAGTATGAAACTTTCTGTGTCCCTTCTAGCTCTTTTCCCGGCTTGTTTCCTAACCACGTCCAAATCTTGGATTCCGAAGAAACCGCAATTGTCAATCTCGCTGATCAAAATTGGAATTTTTAGAGTCAGGCCCCTTGAAGTTTGGAATTGAGTTTTGAGTCTGGAGTCTGTCCTTTCTTTTGAACTTTTCAAACATCAAATCTATTTATATGATCTCAAGCTCTTTTCTTTGCTATGTACAACCTAGCAAAGGAGCCACTGATAAACCTAGTGTAGTGTTCCTTGGACTATGCAATGATCTAGTGTACTGTGACAGAGACCAGTAGAAAACTTTACCTGATTCAAATTCCAGATTAACGGCAGATACGGCATAGCGAGCACTGGAGGTCGCACAAGAGGCTAAGGCAGTAAGACAAAGCACGAAAACGAGCACCGAGCTGATCGCGACACAACTCAGTTTTGACTAGTTTTGCTTACAATCTATAAGTCACATATGAAATGACTAGTTTTGCTTGCAATCTAGAAATCCATTGAATTAATATCAAAAGCAAACTCAAATAACCAAAACACAGAGATTGAAGCAAATCTTTTTACTTGGATTAATAAACTGAAAAACTTTACATACCATAAGATCAAGATGCAAAAGTTGTATCTACAGATAGGCCGAGCGAAATCAAAAAGGACAAAAACCAAACTAAAAAAAAAAGAATTTTGCTTCACAAAAAAAGCTCAATAAAAAAAATGAGTTCAGAGATTTAGAAATGAAACAAATAAGAAACCATAACGAAAGAGTAACGTTCAACAGTACAATGTCTTGCTGCTTGTTTTTGATTTTCAGGTATCTTCAACCTGAGAATGGAACACAAAGCTTGGAAACGTAGTCGTAATATCCCTGCAAGCACGCACACAACAAGATCACAACCTTTATTACATATCATCGAGAATAAGAAGAAAAAGAAACCAAAGAAGCAATTATGTGATTTATAGATTCAATCCCGGTTACATATATAGAAAGATTTGGAACTCACTTGAGATACTGAAGAGTCATGTTCTTCAGAAGGCTGGGGTGTCTAAGAACAAGGCTTCTCCACTCTTCCTTATCGATCTTTCCATCGTGTTTTGTGTCTGCTTCCTCAAACGTCTGAACCATAAAAACTCGGGAAGTTACTTTCAAAGAAAATATTGGGGAGGAGGAAAGGAAAAAGCAACTAACTTACCTTATCGATTATGTCCTCTATGACAGTATCCTTCAAATTCATTCCGGATTCAGCGAGCGTAGCGACAACCATTTGTTTCACCTGGACAAATGGTTGACGAGAATGTCTGTGAGGATGATAAAGCGCACTTCTAGAAAGTTATATATGAAGCGATTTGAAGATATGGAAGCTTTACCTCTTGCCTTTCGATGAATCCTTGCTGTTTAAGATCATATAGCTGAAATGAAACTGCAAAAAAATAGTATATATCATCATTAATGTGTTATCCCAATCTTGTTTTTGAGAGACAAGTTAATAGGGACATACAGTGGATTTTGTCATCTATAGGTGCATTTGGGTGAAACACGGAGAGAGCACGGGCAAACTCTTCAAACCCGAGTATTCCATTGTGTTTTGTATCAAACAAATCGAAAACCTATAAACCAAATCACATATTTCAGCTTTTCTTCTAAACTTGATCTTGACAAAAATGGGACTTATAATGTGAAGAAAGAAACATTACCCGATCTGCAAACAAGCTCTCTTTTTTATTTGTCTTAAACAAAGCCAACTGAAACTCTTCCTGATATAAACAAGAGATGAGTAAATTAGACAGATTGTGAGATCACTCAAGCTTTACCTAATGAGGAAGATCACACAAGATAGAGTTTACCTTGTTTATAAGCCCATCATCAATCACGGCACTGCTGATTTTCTTAAACAGCTCATAAAGAGCTTCTATTTCACTCACACTAACTGCACCAAAAAACCAAATTCATACATCAATAGTATTCAGAAGAAAGATTTATCATTCCTCTAATGGTAGTCCTTAAGAATAAAACAAGATTAGAGAATATGATGATAGGCATACAAACAGTGTCTCTTGCAAGCAATTCAGGATCTCCAAGACCACCGGATTGTTTATACAAATCAAGATCAAAACACCCTAAAACCGAGGTGCATAAATGCTTGAAACCGTCAACGCACTGCGACATGATATAACGATCTTAAGCAGCAAATCAAAACTCTCCATGCCTGCAAATAAAACAGTGAGAATTTTTTGCCACAAGTCAAAAAAACACCTCTCTATAGAAGAAGCATATCAACACTGTAATAAAAAAAAACTACCTTTCAACCATTTCCTAGTTTTGTTTTCTGAAAAAGGATGGGACTTTGCGAGATTATCTGTAACACAAGTTGCAAAATTCAGACAAAGATTAGTAATCTATATAGTCAGTCAATAAAGGCAACACATTGCTTTAGCAACTAGAAACTCTCAAGTCATTGTCATGATTCAGATGATTACTTGTGTCCACATAATATGGAAGATAAGAAAATTAAGACCAAACCAAATTTTTATTCTTAAACATAACAATTATGGAAACGAATGGTCTCTCAAACACAAAAATTTAATAATCAATCAATCGGAAACAAAGCCAAAATTGGGGAATTAGGAGTTTAATACATTAATGAACTCACAATGGAAGGATTTGGTAATTAAGCTAACATAGATTATTACAGGTTTTAGAGAAACAAGACCGATCTAGATCCTCAAAAATCGTCCGAATGAATTCGTGAATCTCAGATTCAACATAGATATAAGTGAACTCAAAATTTGTAGATGGATCTTCGAATGCGAAAATTTACCGATTACGTTGATTCTCTCAATCTCTCAAGTCGGCTCTGGTGGTTGAAGAAGAAGCTCAGCGACAAAGGTGGAGACGATTTTTTTGAGGAGAGAGTTTGAAGAAAAAAAACAAATGAAAACCTGAAAATCTTTTTGAAAATATCTCAACAAAACAAAACAATATTTATTATTAATTTGGTTCTTTAATAATAAATCATTAAAGTTTGATTATACACTATTTTTAGAATTATATAAAATGTAGATAAAATGCCATTTGGAATTTTTTAACAGATAAAGCATATAAAATGTATATGTAATAAAGGCTAAAATATGAATCAAATAGGTGAAAATAATACTATAAAGTTTACCTTTGAATCGGTTTAAGCCGATTTCAATCGGTTTAGTATTACATTTATTGAACAATGTCTTTTTTTGTCAATAGAAGAAGTAGAAGAAACAAACAAATAATTCAAAACCGATAATTATTATACCGAACAAATTCAATAACCGGTTTACTGAGCCTTGAGGGAGTCACTAAACCGGCTCGACTTGGATGACAATAACACCGCGAGGTTCGACCCAATAGACCCGGCACGTGTCAACGAATCAACGCGGTGGTACCTGCACCTGAAAGAACCAGCGTGTGTCGTCGGAGAACATAGACAATTTTGCCTCGTCGGTTTGCCCGAGGACGATCTCCAACGTTTTAAACTCGGTGAGTTATGGTCTTGCCTCTTCGATTCAACGGTAGAGCCACCGGAGGGTTTAGGGTTGATCTTGGCTAAACTTATGGAATACTTTTCTTGCGTCGTAGGTTGTCCGAGATTTAGGGTTGAAGGGTTTTCTTTCGTCATGGTTTTGATGAACGTAAAGAATGAATTTGTGCTGTTGTTTCTAGCTATTGAATCAAAAGGTAATTTATTTAGTGAGTTTTTTTTATGAAGGTAAAGAATGATTTGTGTTGTTTCTTGCTAATGAATCCAAAAGGTAATTTATATAGTGACTTGTGAGAGAAGGCAGCTAAAAATAGTTGTTGAATGTTGTTGACAAACTGCTTTTTTAAGTTATTGGTGGTTAGTATTCTAGAAAAGAATTAAGAAAAATTAGTAGAAAATATTGACTTGGAGGTTTTATTCTTCTTTTTATGGTTACACATTTGGGCAAATATTATGACTTGTCAAGCAAATTAGGAACGTACTTAGTTGTGTTAGTGCCAATTGAGAATCCAGAACAGTCTAATTTAAAGATTCTGTAACCAAAAATAAACATCTGATTGTTTTTGTTTGGTTTGTGCCTATTTTAGGTTTGGACAGACCTCAAAGGCTCAAAATTCAAACTCTAAATAAAACACCCTAAGACTTAGATAGTTGAAGTCAAAACCATCTCAAAGATTCCAAATATTTAGATGCCATGTTCAAACTTTATATGAGATAATAATTAGTGCTATAAAAATATTTCTCTTAAGAAAATCAACATCTTAATTTGGTGTATACATATACTTTTTTGACGTCAAAAAGACATCCTAATTGATTTTATTGGAGTAATATCTGGTTTTTCAGTTTTAAGTTGAAAAAAAAATACAAATGTAAAAATGAAATGTAGTATACACACTATAATAAGATTCTATAAATGTTTGGTCATTGTGATTTGCATCATCTACTCACAATGTACTTTACGATTACTGGTGAGCTCTTTCTGTACAAAAAATTTGACACTCACACAAGTAATCGACTTTGCTTCAAACCAAAACTAAAAATTTTGAAAGAAGAAATCGTAAAGAAAAAGTATTGAACTTAATCAGAGATTTTGACTCGTGAGAGCTTTTGTCTGCTTTTGGGGTTTTTGCTTTGTCATCTTGGAAGATCTTGTTTGCAGAGAGGACAACAAGAGATGATACGAAGCCATTGATCTACACACTTTGAGTGAAACTTATGTGAACATGGAAGCTTCCTTACTTCTTCTTTGTCTTTATACTTTGCCAAACATATACAACACTCCTGCAAACCAAATAAACAATCCTAATCAAAAATCAAAATCTAAGTCCTTTTCAATCCCAAACTAGACTAATAAGACAACATTTAACATCAGATTCCCAAGTGGATCAAACAGAGCCATCACAGATAAAACCTTATGGTCCAAGAAAACTTATGGATTTGTCTCGAATTAACAGTAAAAGGATTAGGACTTACTGGATCATCGGTTGCAGTAGCTGAATCTGAATCAGAATCAGAAGCATTTTCGTCGATTCGTTTGAATTTCCAGCTAGGGAGACTAGAGATTTGGTCATCTGATGCTGCTCTGTCTGAGGATCCCATGTTCATGTTATATCCAAGGAGGCTACTTATGAGAGGAACAAGGCAACAGAGGAAGAGGAAGAGAAGAAAGGGAAAGGAATAGCAGATAGCGTTCCAAGATAGAAGAGAGACGCAGAGGACGTGAAGCTTGGGAGCATGGTGGAAAGAACCAAACCTAGAATCAAAAACCCAAACATTCCCAATCACAAACCAAATCGCAAAGAAAAGCTCTAGCGACGTTCTGCATTTGTTCATCAAGTGAGAGGACCTGAAAACATAGAGCAATATTAGGACCTTGTAAAGGTTTTGGATTCATAATTGACAAAAGATAAAGATTTTGAAGTGTTACCTTGTTTCTTCTCTGCCTCTCTGTTGCTGCTCAACATCGCCGAGGACAAACCCATTTCCTTGACGATACCGACCATATAACAGCATGAGATTCAGAAGACATCCCACATCGTATCCTGTGATCCATAGCCTCACTGGCCAAATAGGTCTCTCTTCTTTGGAGATAGCTAGTGTGAATGTTATCACAGTGAGCTGAACAAGCAGAGCAATGAGCTCAGACATCATCCAAGTGCTAGAATTAAAAGGATTGGAGCCAAGGTCGGATCTTGAACCGTTCTGATAGTGAAACACTCTTCTCAAGAAGATAAACCATCTAGCTCTAGATACCTTCATAGCCAACCTTATGTAAAAGGAAGATGGAGACCTCTCCTGAGCATTACCATCAGCAACATGACTGTTTACGCCTCGCGGTGAGGAGCTTAACGAAGCAGACGATGAAATAGTGATCGTGATATTATTGGAAGATAACTCCGGCTGAACGGAATAACGTGTATTCATCGGAAATTTTTGAATCCTTCAAGATTTTAGACCTTCACAGGACAACAAAAAAGATTGCATAAAGAGAGTCAAATTTTCTGAAAGTTAAAGAGATTCTGCAACAAAGGTTTATAAGTTATGAGCACACACACATGGAACCTTAACTATATAAACAGAAAAGATCATGAAACACACATGAAAAAAAAAAGAATAAAGTCATGAAATTTTCATGACCCAACAACAATAACAAAACAAAAACACATGAAAATTCTCTGAAGAATATAATCAAATACCTTATCTGCAACCATCAAAAAGGGAAAAACTCAGCTCCGTACACGAACTCCTCGATTTCCCCCAAATAAAAAGGAATCTTTTTTACAAACGGAACCTTAATTCGCCACAAACCCAAGTCTTTGAAATCGAAATTCAACACACGAACAAAGGAAAAAGTAACAATTTTTTTCAAAAGGGCTTTGAATTTTACTGTGAAATGAAAAAAAGTTTAGAGGAAGATGAAGTTTCTGATATAGAAACTGAGAGAAGGAAGGTGTAGTGATTATGTCAGAGAAGGTGAAGTTGGGCGAGAGAAGGCGACCAATAAATCAAACCATAAAACAAAAAAGGAATCTTTATATTTGTTTATGCTTTGGTTTGAAGAATCGAAGAGAGGAAGAAGAAGATATAAAAGAGAACCGTTGGCCTAATCTAACACCTGAGATTTTGTTTATGAAGCAATGTTTTTGATAGCAACTGCTGCTTCCAACCGCCAAAGCAGACTCTCTAGAATTGTGGGCAAAGGTAAAGAGATTTTTCAATTTTTCATTTTTTTTTTTTGTTTTGTTTTGGTATTTATTAAAATATATATCTTTATCAAAAGAAATGGATAAGAAGAACATATCTCAATGAAGTCATCAATTCATTTCACCATATCACAATCTTTTTTGTTCTAACAGAAATATCTTCTCTTTTTTTTGGATCATTTTCCAAATATAGTAATATTTAAAAACTATCTTTTATCTTCCTATGGATTTACATCATTACATGTATATATAAAACTATGTTGAATTTTCATTTAGATTTCTTTTTATATTATGGTTAATGGTTTTTTCGATAAACTGAAAAAAATTAGAGAATAATTTGATTCTAATGGAACACTAATATTTTACTTTGTTTTCATTGTTTTGTGGAGTATATAAGGAAGTTCGAAAGCATAAAAAGAGCATGTATCGAAGAACCAAAATTAGCTGGAGGTTAGAAAAAATGAAAAAAAAAAAAAAATCTTATTGCAATATATATATACTAGATAACAACCCGCACCATGTGCGGGATGAAGTGATTCAAGTAAAATTATTCTGATTAAAATTATTATCCGGGATCCAAGATCCGTTTGTGTAAAACGAAACATATTACAATTTTTTTTTGTTTTATTCAAATTTGTGACTATTTCATATAAGAATATGTTTTACCCGTGAAATATTTGAACCTTGAATAAAGCTTCAACGTGATAAAAAAGTATTGACGAAATGTTACCATTTATGGCAATATGTATTTCCGTATGTTTTAAAGATTTCGTAGTATAAAAAGAATTTTTTTTTTTTTCTAATAAGTATAAGAAATCCAAAATTTAGCAAAGATGAGATTTGATAGTTTCCAAGCTAAGATTTTGTAGTGTTTCAAATCTAAGATTCTTAGATTATGAATGGATTATTTACGAAATGGTTATAATGTGGCCAGATTTTGGTTTATATACAAATGTGGTTATAATGTTTTTTTTCGAAAAGTTAGAACTCCTCCAAAAAATAGGATTTTAAGTATTCGTAACATATATAGAAAGGAGATTATCTTATTTATTTAAGTAAAAAAATTATGAAAGATTTAAAGATTTTGTAGTTTTGAATTCGAGATTCTTGAACCAAATGTATATATTTTATCATTTAAATATAAACATAAATATAAATATAAATAAAAAGATTGTATACCCATCCGCTAAAGAAAATTTATATAAATGTATATAAAGAAAAATATAAATATAAAAATATAGTAATATAAGATAAACAAAAAGTGTATGTTTTTAATTATTAATGGGATATATGGATGTATGAGACTAATGGCAAATTATGTAAATAGTCTAATAAATCTTGGGTAATTATCTAAATAAAAGCCAAATCATTGTGAGAGCGACACATCAGCGTGGCAATCTTGTTAATAACACATGATGGTAAGGTTTTTTTAAAAAAATGTTTCTCTATTAATATATAGGGGATTAGAAAAATTAGAAATGAATAAAAAAAATGCGTAAAATTTAAAATTTTGGCAATAAAAATGAAAAAATGGCGGGTACTATGGGAAGGAGTGGGGATGGTTGGCTAACTAATCTCAACCAGAAGATTTTTCTAATCATCAACGTTATGGAGCCCATTCTCTCTTTTTTGCCATGTTGTTTTTCTCAATTTTTATTTAATTTTGTCGGATTATAAAATAGTGGTCAAGGAAATACTATAAGACAAACCAATTTTGAATGAAAATTTATAAAATTCATCAAATTCTAGAACTTTCCGTTGATGTCGGAGGTCTTTGGTCAAGTGGTTTTATGTTCTGGTGCATGCTCTGATAGATTGTGCATTTTGACAATTTTTCTTGGTGTAAAATGTCAAGTGAAGATAAAACAAAATTATTAATATAACTTTTAATAAATTATCAGTTACATGTAATTTTCTTTAATTTTTTCTTCTATATGCAAATAATTTTAAGATTGAATATGATAATCAAATAATCAATTACACCCTGTCGTGGATAAAATTGTTAAATTTTGTCAAGTGTTTAATTTATTTAAAGGTAATCTTTGTCAAATATATATTATGTCTTTAAATGTACTTGTAATTATATATATATATATATATATATATATGTAATTTTATGATGTTGTTGCTTATTAGTATTTTCGTTGGTCTATCATTCTAATAAAACTTTTGAGAAAAAAAAAATCATTCTAAGTTCTAACCTTTTGACTTCTTATAACTTTTTTTTTTTTTTTTAACTCTGACTTCTTATAACTTATTCGACTCCATTCACATATATCAAATCAATAACTACAAATTGTAATTACCGAGACTAGAAATAGCGAATAAGCTAAATTACTATACAAGGCTAGAAATAACGAATAAGCTAAATTGCATTGTACGTAGTATATCTCTTAAGTACTTAAAGTTGACACTGACAACACAAAAATCCAAATGATATTTTCGAATTCATCCAAAACCATTCTAGTTGTCAACTAGCAAAAACCAAACAGAGAATACTTTTCTAGATTCGTCTTAATAAACCCATTACGCATGGTGGTTATATAAAAACAATTAAAACAGTAGCAATATGGTGACAATTGTATACTCTATATATGATCTACACGTAGGATAAGGATAAATTGATTAAATTTTATTTCATGCATGACGTTATTTAAATTTCATAGACCAAGTATTTGCATACATATGTCGGCCTCGTCGACCATTCGGGGACCAATATCGGGATATAACTTAACGAACATGATTACTTAACAAGAGAAAATCTCTATCACTAAACATTGACCAATTATTTATTTTTGGAAAGAAATGGAAAAATCCAAAAACAACATCAAATCATGACACTTGGCTAAACACGAGTACACAAGACACGTGGATTATTATTAGCTTGAAATCGCATTATCAGTATCTGTAACACGGCTCTGACTCGTTTATTTTTGTGTCATTATACTTCCGACATCACTTTCTCTTAACCGTGTTTATTAATAATTTGATACTAAAATTTAATTTACTGTTTTTAAGAATATGTTTTTTTTTGTTGTTTTCCTTTTTTTGCTAGTAGTCACGGTTCTATCCTACCAAAAAAAAAGTAGTCACGGTTCTAGACATCTAGTATTTGTATAGTCACTGTGCATACCCGTATTTGATTGGCCTTTGAGCCATCCTTTAACCTTTGTGATAATAACAACATTTGTATAAGCCAGGGTTGTTTTGATTGGTATTGGGCTTTAACCCCTCTTAACCAGTTAAGCATAACACCATTTGTTTGGTTTTGTCTGCTTTTGTTACGTAAAAATAGTTGATCTTGTAAATTTGTAATACGAGACTAATATGCCCGTGTGATCCATCATGTAGTTTGATTGGTGTTTGAGTTAGGTTTTGGTGGAGATATCCTCTTTTTTTAATATCAATGAACTACTTTATTGTTTTGGATTATATTTAATTTGTATCCATCTTATAGCTAACCAAATATTCGTGTGGTTTATAACTAAATAACACCAAAACTATAACCAATCCATCTTTTTGATTAAATAGTACATTATAATCACCATTTCTATTTACAATGTTTGCCAAATACTTTTACAAAAAAATACATCAAATTATAACATTTTCGTCAGCTCAATTCCAATCCTAATCAATTTTCTACTTCAGCTCAATTCTAATTCCACAAGTTATAGTAGAACCTAAATTTTAAAGGACGAAAAAATGACCCCAAAAAAAGACATTTACACGGTTTCCCAAAACAATCAGAACTCATACAATACAACAAAGACAACAATAATTGAAATTTACTGCTACACATTTCTCTCCACACTATAAATTACAATCCACAAAAAAACACACTTCAATCAACACTTGAGTCTCCCTCTACTAATCTACATGATTCTTCTTCCAATACAAAGCAGCCATGGTAGAAGCACTTGAAGCTCCTATCAAAGAAACCAATAACAGCTAATTGATCTTCTTTGGATCATTCAGAACAAATTCTGCATACAGATCCTTCAAAGCAATCACCACCGTCGTTATCAACGGTCCCATTATCGCTCCCTGCAATCGAAAAAAAACATTACAAAATCGCCAACTTTCGTCCAAATTTTATAAAGATCCAATCTTTTAATTTTCTTACCTCGAGAGCAGAAGGAAACAGAGTCACTCCACCAATAATACTTAGTCCAGTAATGTAAGCATTGGACCCTGGAATGTCATCTTGAATCTCTGAAGCACCATACTCCATTAGCACAAGATGAGTCACAGATAAAGTTACTGCAACAATGTATCTTCCTTCTAGCACTAGTTGCAAAGCCGCTGGGATTGTCGCGAACCAGTAAGGGAAAATCGGTAACAGAGCACTGATGAAGGCCAGAACGGTTGACATGTAAAGGAAATGTATATTGTATAGTCTAAACAATAGCCAAGTGAGACATCCTTGGAAGAAGGCGATTTCCGCTGTTGCTAAAAGCACGCCGGAGATCGCTAAGTCTAGGACTTCGACACATCTGTTTCTAGCACTTGCGTTGATCGGGAGCATGTTCATGACTTGCTCAGTCACACCGCCTGATTCTGATGTGATTAGAATGTATAAAACCCAAATGAAAACCATTAGCTGAGAAATAAAGTTGAAAAACTCTGCTGCTCCCGAGATTATCAAGTTTCCAATAGAGAAAACGAACTTAGCACCGCCTCCAACAACCGATGCGCTGCTTGAGAATACCCGTTGAGATACATCCATTCCTTTAACAGCAAAGCCTTTAGCTTTCTCCACTAAATCTTCTCTTGTGATAATAAGCTCCCTGAAAATCACATCAACCTCCGAGTAGATCTGACTCCACTCCCGGTTCTTAACCCGAGTCCTCAAACTCATGAGCTTCTCTGTATAAGGAGACGGAGTTATAAGCGCTGTGGATGGTGTCGACGTGTTCTGAGGATGCCCGATCACGAAATGCTTAATCCCCGTGACTAACTCCGTCATATTATACTGCATTGCCAAACTATCAATCTGCTCAGAAACCGTTTCATAGAACTTCGTTGTATACATATCTACCATTCCAGGAACATCATTCTCATCCATCCATTGCTTGATCCCAATCTTCTCAGCGTAATTACTCTCTTCAACATGAGATTTCAGAGAATAAACCGCGTCTTTCCCTTCAACACCGATCTTATACGAGAAGAAGATGACACCAGTCAAAGAACCAACAATCATAAGCACAATCAAACCAATAGCAACAATTGTATTCAATCTCTTCATTATCCCTCTAGTGAAATAAGCAGTGAAATGGCTTCTCCTAAAACTATTACTCCTCAGAGAAGAAACCGCAGAGAGAGACGAATCGACATTCTTGGAACTAAACAAAAACCCTAAAGAGAGAATCACAAGAGACCCAATACCCCCAATTCTCTCATAAGCAATCACAAATACACCAAAAGAGACTAACCATCTAACCAATTTGGAAAACCCAGTACCGTTCTTCTTCCTGGTTCTCTTAGGTTTCGATCTCCTAAGAAAAACCCTAAAGCAGAGATTTTTAATATCCACAATGGATCCGATGAAAACATTGAAGACAGAAACAGGAACAGCGAGAACAACTTCCGTTAGCCCTAATTTCAAAGGCTCGCTCCAGAAATCAACAAGGGTTTCTTGAATACCTCTCAAAGGAATCGAACAAAGAATCGCCCATTGAATCGGTCTTAGATACTCTTGTAATAGCTTTCCAACGAAATACAGAACACAAATGGCGAAAACGAGACCAGCGTGAGCCATTGCTATGTACATAGCGAGACGTGCTTGTGAATCAGCGGTTGATAAAGATGTTTTGTTGGATGATGATTCTCCTCCTCTTCCTCCATCGCCGGAAGGTTTACGCGGTGGCGAAGAAGAAGAAGACGGAGGGTCTTGAGGTTTACGCGATGAAGCGGAACGAAACATCTCTTGCCACGCGAGATTTGTGGGGATCGATGATTTCGTCTCCGAATCGTACGGGACCAATTCCATCAATCAAATCTCTCTGTGTCTCCCTCCAAGCACCGATTTTTGAAATGAAGGTTTTTTATTCTCAGATGATAATTGAATGTTTTATGATTGGGACATTAATGGAGGAGACAGAAGACGAAACTATCTTAGTTTAAGTTAAATGACGGAAATGCCCTTACCGACGACGGCTTCAATTTTTCTACTTTACTAATTGATCGTCTATTTCCGGAATTAGTGCATACTAAAAATTTGTGAAACTATATTCGCGGTAACTCTTAAAAAGGTTAATTAGACCAATACAAATAGTCAACTAAAATGGTCACATGCCTCGAACATGCATGATACAACCAAGCCAGATAATTAACGCAAGTCACAATCTAACACGTTCTCTTGTCTATGTGTTATTGTAAGATGGACAAATATTTCTTCTATTCCAAAACAAGCACTCGATTAAATATTATTACTTACACAAAACGTGATTACCATTTTGTTATTATTTTTTGGCACGAAGTTCCATTTCCTGATTATAAATTTATAATATACCTAAACATCGCCTGAAGTTTTCTATCAGGAAATTTTGTTAGGGGAGGACATTTTATGTTTGATATCATGTATGATCCAAAGTTGACCCCATATTAAAAAAAAATGGGTTACATTTTTGAAAATAAAAATTTGACAAAAAAAGAGAGTGATGAATTCTGTCAAGTAAATAATAAATTAATAATACGAGAATTATATGAATAACCTAAATTTTGTATCAACATTATCAAAAAAAGCTAGTCTAGAATTTCAAAAATTAATAAAATAATTTAAATCCAAACTCTAAATCTCACCTCTAAACTTTAAAATCTAAACTAGAAATCCGTAATGCATGGAAAAATTAATTCTTCTACAAATCATAAACAAAACAAAATGGTCAATTGTTTAAAAAACTTCAGTATTTTAATTTAGATGTAACCTATTTTTTACAATAATATAATTTTTTTTTTTTGGTTAAATTTTACAATAATAATTGTGAGTTTTGTTGAGTAATGATCGGGTTTATGCAGCGGGCAGCAGCTCATCAGGCGGCTGGTATATCGGGCCAGTCCAGTAACATATAGTTCGATTAAAAATGGGCCGAATCAATAAGGCTCGTCAATCTCTAGCTTGTGTTACATATATTTTCACTTCTTCCACTTCCAAGTTTAAACACATTTCGCCAAAAAGGGACTAACCTTTGTGAACCAGAGACGACATGGGGACCTAACTATATCGGTGTTAATGTTTCAATCATACTAAAATAGACAGAAATTTAAGTAGTGGATCCACAAATCTTACATTTTTATTAGAATAAGAAGTTTACTTATACAAAGCGATGATGACGTGGCCATGCAGCTTTTTGTTTTATTACGTAGGCCCTCCAAAAAAGTTTGTTGAGACTTCGAAATCTTAAAATTAAAGCTTCTCGTTTTCAAGGTCAAGCGTACATGTTAAGTCATTTTTATTCGTAAAGTGATAAGTATCATCACATTTGATCACTTATACATAAAACTCATTTAATTACTCCTTATTTGTTAAGTTATACGTATGACACCTAACGCAAGATTTTGCTATTTAATCATTAGCTAACTAACCCTACTTTCTCCTTTATTTTGGTAGGTTGCGGAACTAATTAACTCTACTCTTTCAAAGTTCAATTTTTTTTATGACTAATAGTGTTATGTTTCTACAACAGTATGTTGCGTGACGTGACGTCTATATTCTTATGACTAGCAGCTTAGACTATGTACAAAAATGTACAATGCTATGATTGTGATCACAAAATTGGTAGTTAGTTAATGTCAAAAATACATATGTGTTTTAATTTTGTTAGGTATAGAGGCACTCTCGTAAATAAAAACTACCATTAAAATCTGAATGTATTGTGCATTAAAAAGAAAGAAAGAAGATAAAACCTCGTACCGATCTGAATAATCTTTTATCAAATGAAGTCACAATTTTGGACGTTGAAGAAGTCAACACGTGGCAAATCACAGACTCGACAATTTTCTCAAGGGAAACAAAAAAATCCCTGAAAAAAATCGAGGAATTTTTCTTAATTTTCGAGATAAATTAAATGATATTAAAAAAAAAAAAAAAAAAAAAACAGAAAGATACGCAATGAAACTGCGTTTTCAAGCAAACTGCTAAAAATTTCTATCTTTTTCTCTCTCTCTCTCTATAAGGGCTCTGCTTCTTCTACAACAGCCGAAACAATTATACCATGACATTAAAATCCAGATTTTTTTCATTCATTTTCGTATTTTTGATTTAAAAGTAAAGTTTCTTCCTCCATTACAATGGAAAATGTGATCTGGGTTTTTCATAGAAAAGATTGAAAACAATCAGAGGATTTTGATTTTTGATTTTTTGTTCATTTGGTGTGTGTGATGGGTCTGGTTGATTCTTTGTTTGGAAAAGATGCAAGGAAATTTCTCAAAAGGAAAGATAGTGATGCTGCAGAAGCAGGTTCGTGATTATCATTATAAACAATTCATATTCTTCATTTGATTTGCCTCATCATGATTCAGATTTCTCATGATAAAAAATGATGCTTTATTTATTTTCACGTTGTCTCTGTTCTTCATCGTTAAGTTAAATGGTTTTGATCGGATTGTTAATTAAAGGATCATTAAGGGTTTGATGAAATGAATCACCTTTAGTTTTTTTTTATCTGTTTGTGAATTTGCAGGTCGAGCTTTGGAAGAACTCAGAAGTTCTTTATACAATGAGCTTAAAACATCAGAAGGAGCTAAACGGCAACAACAGAGATTTTGTGGCCCTGTTGTTGCAATGTCCTTCAATTTCTTTGTTGCTGTTGGAATCATCCTTGCCAATAAATTAGTAATTCGGCTTTTTGATAATATCTCAATTTCTTCTTTCTCTTTTTTTTTTTACCATGTGATTGTAATTGTAAGGTTGATTTTTGCAGGTGATGGGAAGAGTTGGATTCAATTTTCCAATCTTTTTAACATTGATTCACTATACTGTTGCTTGGATTCTTCTAGCTTTCTTCAAGTCTCTCTCTTTGCTTCCAATGTCTCCTCCTTCAAAGACTACACCTTTCTCATCTCTCTTCTCTCTTGGAGCAGTCATGGCCTTTGCTTCCGGGCTAGCTAATACAAGTCTCAAACACAACAGGTTCATAGCACAATCCGTAAAATTTGCATCAAGATTCATAGCTCAAGCTTGAAAGCTTTTGTTTTTATGTTTCCAGCGTTGGATTCTATCAGATGGCTAAGATCGCAGTGACACCAACGATTGTTCTTGCCGAGTTTGTTCTCTTCAAGAAAACCATTTCTTCCACCAAGGTTCTGCTTATGACATTTCAACAGAACAATTAAGAATCATTACATGTTTTTTTTGTGCTTACTCTGTTTTTTGGAGTTTGTCCTCTCACAGGTCATGGCATTAGCTGTAGTATCTCTAGGTGTGGCAATCGCGACAGTCACGGATCTAGAATTCAATTTGTTCGGCGCATTGGTTGCTGTTGCTTGGATTATCCCAAGTGCCATCAATAAAATACTCTGGTCTAATCTTCAGCAACAAGCTAATTGGACTGCCCTAGCGTAATAAATAAGAATCTCTCTCTTTTACTTTTACTTGAGGCTTAAGCAAGAGAAGTCTCTTAAAAATTCTCTCTTTATTGAATGTAGATTGATGTGGAAGACAACACCATTTACTGTCTTCTTCTTATTGGCTCTCATGCCATGGCTTGACCCACCTGGAGTTTTGCTGTTCAAATGGGATTTAGCTAACTCTTCCGCAATCCTCGTCTCTGCTCTTCTCGGCTTTCTTCTCCAATGGTCTGGTGCACTCGCTCTCGGGTTAGTCTTTTGTTCTTTGCCTCGGTTTGAAGATCAATCTTGAGTTGATAAAATGTCAGTGTGGATTTGGTTTGGTTCACCATCCTTGAGAGGCTAGAGTACTAAAGTTGTTGTTTCTTACAGGGCAACGTCGGCAACATCTCATGTAGTATTAGGGCAATTCAAGACATGTGTGATTTTGCTTGGAGGTTACGTTATCTTCGGCTCCGATCCCGGTTTCATCAGCATCTGCGGCGCTGTGGCAGCTCTTGCCGGAATGTCTGTCTACACGTGGCTCAATCTTCCGGGGAAATCCATCGATCACATGTCAAACAAGCAGCTTCCGAAGCAAAACGTTAACGTTTCAAAACCTAAAGCCGAGGCTGACGACGGAGGAGGAGAGACCGGGGTAACCGTAGTTTCTGTTGACCCTCTTCTCTCCAAGACGATAACTGCAAATATCGTATAGTTTTATAATCTAATTAGATGCCAAAGAGAAAAAATGAGTTTACTTTTTTTTCCTTCAGGTTTAGTTTGTAAAATTGGTTCAATTTTATTATATTAGTATATTTTGATATCAAATTAGTTTAGTAAAATATACTAATAAAATATTTTGATATCCTAATGTGACAAGAGGGCTTGAGCCTTGAGGGGTTAATTTGTAAAATAATGAAATAGATGTTGTAATTTTGAAGTAATCTATAACTTGGTGTGAGTATGAGGTGCAATTAGTAAATACATTAAACCTTTTTGAACTTTTCTATAATTTCAGAAACTTTAATGTACTAAAGTGAAAATTTTGTGGGAATCGGGTTGTCGATATAAAATCGGGCTGACCCGAACCCGGTTTTGTGCGAGATTCCACTGTCCGTCGTTAACAAAGAGTTAATCTCAGAACGTTTTCTCGATTTGCTTTTGCGACTTTATAATTTTCCTTTGAACTGACTCAGTGAGTCGCCGATCGAGTTAGAGATGGGGATGGGAAGTAACGGCGAATTGAAGTATGAGATCTCCCAGAACGCGTACATCAAACTCGTTCTCCACTCGCTGCGACACAAGACGGCGGCGGTCAACGGAGTCCTCGTCGGTAGAATCAGCCCTAAGGACGACGGAGTTGTAGAGATCTCAGATTCTGTGCCGCTCTTTCACTCTAACCTTGCTCTCCTCCCTCCTCTCGAGATCTCCCTCATCATGGTTCGTATCTCTTCTTCTTCGAATCGATTTGATTTGATGAGCTTTGAAATTGAATTTTGAATGAGATTATGATCTGATTGCATTGTTATGGATATTGAATTACGAATTCTGGAAATTTTAGTTCGTGTACTAAGCAGCTGCATATGTTGTTGTTATTAGCTTGTTCTTACTTTTCTTTATGTTTGTTTGATTCTCAGTGAAGTCTTATTGTTGTTTCTATTTTAACATAGAAAAGTCAGATCTTGAATTGTTTTTTCTGTACCTGTGTTCGAAAGAGATTTAGTGTCTGTATCTTACGGATTCAGGTTTATTTTTGTTGTGTTAGATAGAGGAGCATTATGTGGCTCAAGGTTTAAGTATTGTTGGATACTTTCATGCAAACGAGAGGTTTGATGACGTTGAGCTCTGTGGTGTGGCTAAGAACATTGGTGATCACATCTCTCGCTATTTCCCTCAAGCACCGATTCTCTTGGTAAGAAAACGTCTTATCCTTTCCTTTCAAGTGCAGCAGTTTCTTGAATCACTATGTTTAATTATTGTATGTTGCACCTTTCTGCTGTTTGTAGTTGAACAACAAAAAGCTTGAAGCTTTATCAAAGGGTAAAGAGCGAAGCCCTGTGATGCAGGTTGGTATTTCTTATCACAACAAGGTTTTGAAAAGCGTAGGATAACATGGATAGGAGATTAGTTAGTCAGTTTAGTAAGAAATATATATCAAGGCTACTCTAGCTTATTGGTATTTGAAAATATGGTTTTGGTATATTGTAATGCTAGATATAAGATCAAGAGAATATAGTGAAAGATTGAGACACTCAAATTTTGTAGTATATGCTAATTTATGTGTTAGTCCAGGCTCTTGTCTCAACGTTGCATTCATTTTTTTAAATTGCATCCTAAGCAAATACTGTAAATTCTACGATATACATGACCATACTAGCAAATTACAGTTCCACACTGTCTACTTGAATTGTGCTACCAACCTTCTTGACCATTTAATCAACCCTTTTATTTTGGTACTTTCTGCTTGATGCAATTTTCTTTTGCAGCTGTTAAAAAGGCATATTTATCACCTTTTACGGGTTTAGTAATAATGTATGTTGTATGTATATGCTAGCTCTGTGTGAAGGATGCTTCCAAGAACTGGAGAGTGGTTGGAGCAGATGGAGGAAGCAAGCTACTCTTAAAAGAGCCATCGGCCAATGTAATTTTGTCAGATTACATTTCATCTGAGAAATGGAAGGACGTCACAGATGTTGATGATCATCTTGATGATGTTACCAAGTAAGTTACATACACGAACTGAAAAACAAGAAAAAAAAGGTAGAACCTTTATGTACCAGATGGTAATATCTCACTCATATTCACTGTAATTGCAGGGACTGGCTAAACCCTGGACTTTTCAACTGAAGATGGGTATGCGATATAGCTAAATTAGACTTTTGCTTTCATCATCTTCAGTCGAAAAACAAAAAATTCTCGGTGACCCTTGTTTAAAATTTCCCTTGAATCTTGTTAAAGTATTATCCAGCTACGCAGCAGAGCTCAACTTACTTTTAATTGGTACACATCTTAAACATTAGTTTTATCATTTGAATGATATATCTTGGAGCTTGTTCACGCGATCCATTTTCTTCTCTCTAGTTGCATTTTGATTATATAGTTGGAATGAAAGCTCTACTTTATTTGGCTATTGTTCTTAAACTTACAAAGTAAATAGTTAAATACTGAAGAACATGAAACCAAATCTAGTGCTTTACATTGTTTGAATCCCTTAACTTCTTAGGGAGGGGTATTAAACAGATATAACGATTACCAAAGCGTTTTTCGACATCAACAGTTACCCCTTTCAGGAAAACATTGCATTTTCATCAATCTTAAAACACAGGACAACCTTCAACAACAACACCTTTGGCCGTTGGGCAATGCGCTAGAGGGCAATGGTCTGAATTCTCAAGCCCCCACCAATCAGGTAAGCTTATATCATTGTTCTGAAATGCGAAGAATATCAACACTCCCATAATCGCAGTACCTGCATCAAGCGCTGCAGAGAGGATGTAGTTGTGCCTCGCCCACCAAGTTTTAAACCTCCTGAAGATGTAGTAGTTGAACACAACCCCAACGATGGCCCAGGACCAGTAATGCACAGCCTTAGCTTGTGGCATTGCGCTTACCGCCGAGAAGATCAAGGGAACATGGATCTGTTTTAGCCATTTCTTCTCTGGGAACTTCTTCGATAGGTACCAGAAAGGAACTGGAGCGAGGAGACCGATAAGGAAGAACCAGTTCATCCCAGGATAGATACCTTCTTTGGTAAACATTCTCCCTGGACCAATCACTCCCATATGATTGATGCATTGTAGAACACTTCATCTCCAGGACAAGTCCATGGACTACCCACCGGGAGCAAATCCACGTTACATATGTTCTCTACAGATGTAATGAGCCACCAGGTTGTTCCGAAGCAGACAGTTGAGGCAACCACAGTTGCAACAAGCTGGACGATGAACATTGATCTTGGAGGGATCTTCATGTAGTGACCAAGCTTGAAGTCTCCTACAAAGTACAAGGCTTGAGACATACTGATGTATCCATATGTCTTGAAAGCGACATTGGCTAGTGGCTTTCCTGGGTATAAGTACCCGATGATCAGTTCTGTTATAACATTAAGACCCATTTGCTGGTTCGTAGTTGCTTGGATAACTCCAATAGGCAATGTGAAGAACAAGGCGATGGCGCACGCGAGTATAAGTCCCCACCATGGAAGCTGAAGCTGTTTGTCAAAGCCCTCACAAGCATAGAGTGCGAAAGCAAAGGAAATAACTAGAACTACGATGAACCACCATTGAGGTACTGATTGATAATTCTTCTTCATCAATCTCGAATGCACATCTCCGTACTTGTCCTTTGTTGCTGTCTTTGCCTTCTTCCACATTCCCCATATAAACCTTAAGATACAAACACAAAAGAAGCTTAGAGAGAGTCATCATCAAATCAGCTATCAAAACAATGTTGAAAGATCCTTACTTTCCATCATAGAGGGCGACATGAGAGATGGTAGCGAAAAGAGAACCGAAGCTGAGTCCATAGAGCAACGCGAACATCACACTCAAATAGAGCTTGCTGTAACCGTTGTAAGCGTCTAGATTGATATCGAAATTCTTCTCATTGAGGATACGAGTAATGTTATAGGTGTGTCCAGTCTGATCAAAGGTGTGTGAAGTATAGAACGGAAACTTCTGTGCATCATAAGCATTAGTCCAGTAGAAGATAGGTAGAACAATGTATAAAAAGATGAAGAATCCGCCAAAGAAGTTGGCAATGGCGAAGAATGGTACAGCCAACGGACTGCCTAGGAAACCAGCAACAGTGGACCAGTCAAGACCAAACGAACCAATTCCTAAACCCTTGAGCCCCGAACCGATAATCTGAGCGGTCACTGAGCTTTTCCAAATCCAGCAAACAAATGAAATTGCGGAAATGGAAGGGAAAAGGTAACCGGGGATTATGTAGTAAGCAAAGCTCACGCCGAAGACAATGATGAAGAATCTAAACCTTGTTTGTTGCCCTTTTTGTAGATCCTCCTTCTCATGTAAGCTCTGTTACATAGCCAAAAATCAAAACTCGGATTAAGAGAAAGCAAATGTGATTTGATAAAGAGTCACATATACGGATCATTGAAACCAACCTAAAGAGTGAGACTTGAACCAGATTTGACGGCCACCACATATACGGTGAATCCACAAGGAACTTCCTGAACATTCCAGCCCATCCATATCCCAACAACTGCAAAAACAAAATGAATTTTTAAAATGCGAGAAAAATAATCAAGAATCATAAAAATAATCAAGAATCACCCACAAAATAAGATTTTAAAAACTTATAACTGCAAGAACGTAATCAAGATTCATAAAAATAATCAAGAATCATGAAGATAATAGCTTTTGTGTAGCTACTGTTTATATCCACCCATTAAAAACAACAAGATATATTTTTGAAGACATGTAAATATATACCTGAGTGGTTTGTGTGAGCAACATGGCAGCGGCGACATTGAGTTGACGGTTGTAAAAAGCTTTAACAATGGTAATGATACTTGTGGCGTAAACTCCTCCAGCTCCGGTATTAGCAAATATTGTAATGAGAACATGTTCTTTCATATTGAACGGACCAGGGTTCAATGACCACGACCAATTCGTCCCGGGAAACCCGAATTTCTTTGTCGGTAGCGTCTTCGCCATGAGTTTCCCCAACGGGAGGGTGACAATCTGCGCCGCAACGGAAGATACCCAAAGCTGGTTCGACCGGAAACTAAAGAACTGGTTCACGAAGCAAGCAAGATGCAAGAGAGAAGTCCAAGAAACCATGTTCGAAATGTTAGAACCGGTATGTTGGATCGTCGGTTATCGGTACAGTTAACCGGACTTCTTCAATCGGATTATCATTCGTCCTCCTCCTTTTCTTCTTCTTCTCCTGCACGTTAAAATTCCAATCCACACACTCTTAAACCAACAATAAACGACTAGAAAATTAACGAGTAATTAATGATCCAATATATTTAAAGAACCGAAACAAACCGGTATAAACCGAAAGAAACCGAGAGATACATTACCATTGATTACGATCTTGGACTCGTGAGAATCGTCGGAGGGTTTAGGTTCATCGAAAACGCTCGTCATTGTTATGTCTTCAAGCTCCTTTTTTCCGTCCTTCACGATGGTTTGGTTAGAACTCGAGGTTGTCTCCGGCGACGGTGACCGGATTTTCTAGCCCTCGGTAACCAGTCGGAATTTTAAAAAAGCCTGAAAATTAAAGATTACGATAACGTTTTTAGCCCAGAAGCATTTGTGCGTGGATTGACTTCATATATAGACTTTAGACAAAGTTAAATGGATGTCAAAAAAAAAAATACAGACTTTAGACAATTTACACCACATGAATTTAGTTTTTACCGGTTTACTATTATTAAGGTTAAGGAGACCGTAAAAAAGGATCCGTTTTCTTTGGGTTTTCTGTCAACAGTTTTTAAATTATTGACTCAACAAGAATAACTAATTTCAGAAATTTGTCAACTGTATTGGAATCTTGAACACGGTCTACTCTAGATTCTGTATTTAGTTAGGATCTTGTGAATCCTATAGACTGAACTCTAATCAAAGGAAGAAAAAAAAAAAGAGAATAAATATGGAAATAATTGTGACGATATAAAAAAGAAGTAAAGATAGTGATGACACATACTAAAAATGTATATATAATTGGTCCCGATAATTAAGAAGTTAATACGTATTGAAATCTAACATTCTTTAAACATGCCATGGTCATGTCAATTACGCTTGCTAGTGATATTTGAATTCATGTCTATGTTAACTGAGATGGGTCATTGGTTTCAGCTATATTTCAACAATTCAGATTTTGTTAAAAAATACTAACAAGTATAATTTTTTCTTAAAAAAAAGAGAGTAGAATTTAAAGGTTATCTATATATCTACTTACTAAAACCAGCATCTAGTTCTAGTTTGTTTTCCTTGTTCCATTATTTGAGTTCCATTCATCTCATATTTTAAGTCGCCAAACTCGTCACCAAATTGAAATATTATTCATTAGCTATATTATAACCGGTTGTATAAATTCAACGAAAATGGACTATAAATGGAATAGAAACCCCTAACTAAACATATATATGCTAGTTCAGATGGAATATTCTATTCTATCTGAATTTAATAAGTTTAATGAATCGTAAATCTTAAAAATCATAGAAAAATCTCTGGCAAGAAACCTATGGACCACGAATCCACGATAACAAGCAATTATCGTAAAACAAAAAAAGGTTTTGAGTTTTATTGGGAACTTACTTGGTCAATTCGACTCGTGTTAATGTGGTGGACAAACCTTAACTCGGGATTACAAGCGTAGAGAATACTGTAAAGAAATCCTCGAAGAAGATGGCATATTTATAGGAATTAGGAAGAGAAGAATTAAATATTTTCCAGGATATCTATCGCAGTTATTGCAGATTCTTTTAGTTTCTATAAATAGATTTCAAAATCGTTGCGTTTTGATTCAATATTCTATTTTTGTAAAAGTCCATGCATTGTTAGTTTTTGCACTGTCTAGGTTCATTTTTACGTTTCTATTGCCAGCTCTTATACCGATTTTAATTGTGATTTATCTTTAATTAGATAAAGTAGCGCTATTGCCAGCTAGCTCTATTGCCATATTAATTACATAATTATCTCACGACAAGTAAATCTCACAGACTAAAAGATTATGTTTTGATGAAACTTGTCAACTTGACATGTCTATCTAACTGCCAAAACTTATGAGTTTAATGTACGTAGAACTTCTTAATATTTGACTCGGATGTCTTATTTGATGTATGAAATCATGTGTAACAACTTTTGGCTCGATAGGCCTAATATATTTACTAGCTTTTCGCAACCAGATTCTTGAATGGGACTTTTCTAGGCGTCATGTGAAAAGGATGTAGGCTAATAATATGGTCTTCGTCTTTTTATAAAAAACACCGACTCAAAGGTAATTTCAACAAGAAAATATGAACATTTTAAGTATTTCTACAAATAATCATAAATCTGCTATATAATAGAGGTGGTGATCAAACAACATAGCATAGTCATATAGTTAAGATGTCTAAAACATCGGATTAGGTCAGGATCGGCCTTGCTGGTCGATATATTAATAACCAAATTTTATGAACTACACAAATGTAAATAACATATATATATATATATATATATGTTCAAAACTTCAATGTTGGGTAGACGTGCATTTGTTCTACTGATTTATCAAATGCGTTATGTGGTTTAAAGCATGTACGTGTCGAGATTTTTAGGATTATAATATGTTTGTACGTTTAGTTTTCCACCATGATATGTATAATTGTATAGTATATTACATTTTGATTTTATAAAGCATCTATGAAGTCGAGTTTTTTTAGAGATTATAATATGTTCTACGTTGAGTTGTACTCCACCATAATATGTTTATTACATATGATATGCGTTTGCGGATAAATAAATATTTTATTATATACATTATATCGTCATATGTAATGCGTGCAGTTAATGTAATAGAAAAAATAATCAAATTGATTGGAGTCCAATCCCCATAGTCATATCTCATCGGTCAAAACCAATTATTTATTTGGTCATACATGTACACGTGTATTCAAATAAGCTAAAGACTTCGTTATCTCGTAAGATTATTTTTACGTTAAAGAGGTTTTTTTTTGTTTTTTGGTAAATACACAAAAAAGATACTATATAATTATCTTGAAAACCATTACATACGTTACTTATCTATCTATTATTGGGTTTGATTGGTGAACAGAATAAAAGTATTCCAAGTTATACCGCTTTTATTTTTACTAATCACAAAAACTTTATCAAAAGCATTACTAAAAGTTTTACTCTCAGCTTTTTTGTACAACTTTCTCGTACAGCTCTTTCATACAGCTTTGCACTATTCCGGTAAAGCTAACAGCTCAAAAAACTTGTACAGCTTTTGGTTACCAATCGGACCCATTATTACCTAGTGATTAGATAGAGCCGACATCAACTCAGCTTGTACCCATTTCACACAAGACAGAGAAGTAATGACAAATATTTTTGCTCGACCCATTTCACACAATGCTACAAGATAAGGTGCTTTCGTGTCATAAAGATTAAGACAATTTGATTATAACTTCCGTTGACTGAGGGGAGCGAAATTGACACAAACCATTAACAGATTATGAGCAATACTTCTCAACATTTTAGAGTTTCTTTCTTTCTCGGTCCCAAAAGAAAAGAAGACAATAGCAGCAACTTGTTAGAAAAAGACGATGAACAAGTTTTGAGAATTGGACCACTGAAAATCCAAATTTCTACCCAACCATTATTCTACTATTAGGGAAAACGTGGTCAACCATTTTTGTCAACTTCGCCAATATTGATTTCAACTTCTTGATGCCACTAATCTCGGAACTACATATTGTTATTAAGTCTTTTTTTTTTTGTCACACGCTAAAGATAAAAGTAAAGAAAAATAAGGGGAGACTAAATAGAAGAACACTAGAAATAGAATAACAAGGGTTTGTTAAGTACAAGTTATTTTGTAGAGAGAACTTAACCGTATTCAAATTTTGTGCCAACAGAAGTTTTGGTAAATGTTTTTGTTTGTTTTTGAAAGCAAAACTTTGGTTGTTTTAATTTCACAAGTTCAAGAGCACGCTTGTACCAACAAAGATAGATATGATCGTGGTGTTTCGATTCGTGTCGAAGTTGACACCGTTCGTTGTCTTGTTATTGATCGTGACATATTTGTTTTTGTTTGTGGAACAAATTTTAAAGTATTTGGGTGTTCACACTAGTTCTAAACTTGTGTGTTTATGAATAAAAAATAAAAGTAATCAATAAATCTTTGACAAAACTAATTGGGCTCAATTATTACATTGGGCCATTAATTTTAGATAAAAGCCCATTAACAGACACCAGTCAAATAGAGACCTTCGGTACTCCAAAATCTTCAGCTTCTTCTTCTACTTCTTCTGTTAAACCCTGGCCGCGCGAGAAAACCTAATTCAAACCTGTAGCCATGCCTGCTCTCACTCGTAACAAGAAGAAAGCTGCGACGAAATCGCCAACCCCTCCAACGAAGCAGGTTACCAAATCCAAAGCTCCTCCATCTAAGATTCAGTCGAAACCCCAAACTTCGACGTTGAAGAAAGGAGCGAAATCCCAGAACAAACCTCCATTGAAGAAACAGAAGAAGGAAGTTATCGAGGAAGAGCCTCTCGAAGACGACGAAGATGATGTTTATACTGATGTAGAATCAGAAGAGCTTGATGAATCTGATGATGGAGAGAAGGTCTAATGCGTATTCTCTGATGATGATGATGATGATGAGGAAGAGAACGATGACTATGAAGAGACTTTGGGTGACGATTTTCTAGAAGGTAGCGGCGATGAAGATGAGGAACGACCTTCAGATTCGGATTCTGACTCTGATGATAACGATATTGTGAGAAATCTGATGCTATTGATAGACAATTAGCAAAGGATAAGAAAGACGCTGCTGCTGAAGTGCGGATAATATCAAGCAAGACGGACCTGATGAAGAACTTGAACATGATGCGTTTCGGCTACCAACTGAAGAGGTACATTTTTCATGTGTAATACTATCTTTGGTTTGTTTTGTTTTGGTTTTTTTTTTTTTTTAGTTTTTTTGTTTTTTATCCTTCATTTTCAGGAGCTTGAAGAAGAAGCTCGTGGTCCACCAGATCTTCCTCTACTTAAGAGTAGAATTGAAGAGAGTTAGTATCATTCCAAATTTTATTGCTTTATTACTGTTGAATGTTGGTGTGATGGTGATTTGGATTTGAGTTCTAATGGTTGTTCATTTCATTTCAGTTGTTAGAGCTCTGAAAAATTTCAAGGCTTTAGGCCAAAAGATAGCACGAGGAAAGCTTGTGTTGAACAGCTCAAAGCTGATCTTGGTTCTTATTATGGTTATAACAGTTTTCTTATTGGAACTTTGGTTGAGGTGACTCTCTAGTTTCTTTTTATTTCTTTCCTTTGATAAAGTGATACTCTTTACTTATGGATGTTGAATTGGGATTTCTCTTGCAGATGTTTCCTCCTGGTGAACTTATGGAACTTATTGAAGCTTTTGAAAAGCAAAGGCCTACTCTATCCGGACTAATACACTTAAGGTGAACTTGGTTGTGATTTATTGGCTTATGAGTTTCAAGTGCTGCATTTCATGGTGATGTTTGTTTTGATTTAGACTCGAAGACGGGATCTTGCTGATGTACTTTTGAACAGAGGAGTCAATCTAGACCCATTAAGCAAGTGGTCAAAAGTAAGTAGCTTGTTCTTACTGTTTTCTTTTCTGTAAGTCCTATTTTTATGAATGTTCTGTTGTTGATCTGCATAAGTCTTATTTACGGATGTCCTACTGCAGGTTGGACTTGTTATCTATGATTCACAAGTCCCAATGGTGCGACTCCTGAATACTTGGCTGGTTACTACATGGTAAGATCTTCTGATATCTTTCCCTTTTCTTCACCTTTATGGAATGTAATTGTTTGCTTAAGTCTCTCTTCTTGGTGTATCTGCAGCTTCAAGGTGCTAGTTCGTTTTTGCCAGTGATGGCCCTTGCCCCTCGAGAGAATGACGGATTGTGGATGTAGCGTAAGTTATCATCATCTACTAAATAGTAGCCGCAGCTAAAATGTTTGCGCTTGTTGGGTGTGATGAGTCCAATTAGTGTCTGACTGTTTTATGTGTGAGTTTATAACAAGATTTTATATCAATGCAGTGCTGCTCCTGGTGGTAAAACAACTTATCGCTGCTCTAATGAAAAATACGGGTATGTCTTCATTGTTCTCTACTTCTTATCCCATATTCTATTTGGCTGTTTTAATGTTTTTTGGTTTAAGTAATGTTTATAATGATGCTATAACCAGGCTTAATATATGCGAATGAGATGAAAGTACCTAGGCTTAAGTCGCTAACTGCCAATTGCATCGCATGGGGGTCACAAATACCATAGTTTGTAACTATGATGGAAGAGAGGTTAGCTTCTTGAACATTGATTCTTCTGTTGAATTCTGCTACTGTTCACAAATCGTTAAAAATTATAACCGATTCACATTACTGGCATGATTGGAATTGTAAAATTTTATCTGCTAATTTTGCCAACATGCAGCACAGTTTTAATTTTTGCGCTTATTCTTTATCTTGTTATCTTTGCTGCTGTCAGCTACCCAAGGTTTTAGGTCAGAACACGGTTGATAGAGTTGTTGGATGCGCCTTGCAGTGGGACTGGAGTAAGGAACTTCGAACTTACTCTCTCTTAAACCATAGTTAAGGTTTAGATCCTTGTTACTAAATATCCTCTGCTACCCAATACAGATCATATCAAAAGATGAATCAGTTAAAATAACGAAAACTGCTGATGAGATAAAGAAATTTGCACACTTGCAAAAGGTATGGCAGCACCTTCTTAAATAACTTCTATCATATCTGAACAAACAATTTTTTCATTCTTAAACGCATACTAATTTAACCCCTTTTTGTTCATGCAGCAACTTTTACTCGCTGCTATTGATATGGTGGATGCCAATTCCAAAACTGGTGGATATATAGTTTATTCAACATGCTCAATTATGGTTACTGAGGTTGGTTAACTGTTTTTTCCCCCATATTTCTCCTCTTGTATTTGATTCATACTAATTTTCCTTTGTTGAAAAAATGTGCAGAATGAAGCTGTAATTGACTACGCCCTCAAAAAGAGGGATGTTAAACTCGTTACATGTGGACTTGATTTTGGCAGAAAAGGGTAATGCCCAAGTTTTCATCTGAGGGATATGTAAAGGAACATTTAAATAATATGTCTCTAACTCTTTGTCCTTCTCTTCATCAGATTTACCAGATTTAGAGAACACCGGTTTCAGCCATCTTTAGACAAGACTAGACGTTTCTATCCTCATGTACACAACATGGACGGGTTTTTTGTGGCAAAGGTACTCACTTTTAACCATATAATGGATCAACCAAATACTTCTCAATACTATAATAGTTGATCAACAACCCACAATATTTTGATGTTATACTCGTGTTCTTTTTCTTTATACAGCTGAAGAAAATGAGCAACGTGAAGCAATCTTCAGAAGGTGATGATGAGGCGGTAGAAACTGTAGAGCAAGCTGAAGTGTCTAGTGATGATGATGATGATGAAGCTGAGGCCATTGAAGAGATTGAGAAGCCTTCTGTTCCTATAGGCAACCGAAGGAAGCAAAAGAAAAAAAGAACAAGGAAAGACTTGCAAAATCAAAGGAGGACAAGAAAGGTAAAAAGGAATAAGAAATCAAAATCTGAAAATGTGGAAGAGCCATCTAAAGCAAGGAAGCAAAAGAAGAAGAGATCTGAATGGAAGAATGAAATTGCTCAAGCTAGGTAAATAAATATTTCTCCTCATCCATGAACTGAAAAACAAAATGCTTTAGGCTTGTCTTATACATTTGCTTGACAATGCTTTGAATAAACACATTTGCAGGGAAGAGAAAAGAATAGCCATGCGAGAGAAGGCGAAGGAGGAGAAGCAATGATTCAGTGTTTTTGCATCAAAGAGAAGAAACCATTTGCGAAAACACTATCATCTATGCTTATAGTAGGCTTGTGCCATGTATTGGCTTTGTTGTTTTTGTTTATTCACGACGATTTGTGCAACATTAAAAGCACCCAGAGTGAACACTCTGTTGGACTCCATGGACAGATCCTAAATGTCCAAAAGTTTTGTTTCAGAAAAAAATCTTTCAAGAGTATCAAGTTAAATTGTGTTCTTGAGCCGATCACTAATTGTTATTTCTCACATGAACGAAACTCAGGGTGGCCAAAAAAAGAAAAACTAACTACTAATCTAAATGTGTTTGTCTTATAAAGTGGTTTTGATATTAATTTTAACGTAGTTGGAATAACCGAAATGAATACTAACTTTTCAATTTAACTACATATTAATATTTTTTAATTAATTTGTTAAATCATCATTCATACATGTTGGAATTGACTCAAACCAAACCAAACTATATCAAACCATAATTGTATGAAAAACCAAACAAAATATTGGAAGTTGAAAGGCTCAGAATTGTTTCAGTTTAGTTTTTCTTATTTTTTTCAGAGAACATTTTTTTTTTAATTGAGGGATTTGGCAGTGAGCTGTTGATTGGTTGTAAGAAGTTAGAGCGAAAGAGAGATTGTGAAACTCTCACACCAAAGTGGGACTTGTGTTGGAGAACATGACAACCCATTCTTCATCTATCTTTGTCAGATCTTGTTTGGGGACCTCTCAATTTTAATTTGATTATTTATCCTTAACTCTTCCTTTTTCTTTTATATTTACATTATTCATTCTTATATAAATTTATATATTTCAAATATTCGAAAATCATTAAAGATATCTAACTGGTCGATTATATGTTCCAATCAATCAATTTTTGTATTTATGGTATGAATAATTTCATTTTTTTGTTTGTTTACTTTCTTGCTGATTTTATTATATTCGAAAGAACATTTTTTTTGTCTGCTGTTAAAAAGAACATTTTTGTAGGGGAAAATGATGGTTATTATAACAAAAAAGAAGATATAAAAAAATCAGGTGGACTATTATTTTTAGGGATTATTGTCTAAAATGCCACTTTTTTGGAAAAACTTACGAAAATACCATTTTTTTGAATAGTTTACGGATTTTGCCCTTTTTTAACACTTAAAAATGTACGTATTTATGATTTTTTTGCAAAATCACGTTTTTATACCAAATACTAAACCCTAAGAACAAATGGAACCGACTAAACCCAAACATAACGAGTGAAACGCATGTTAAATCATATTTTTGAAACAAAAAAAGGACAAAATCCACAAACTATTCAAAAATGGCAAAATCCACAAATGCCATTACGAAAAAGGGCAAAATCCGTAATTAATTCTTATTTTTATCTTTACGTCAAACAAAATCATGTGGACTATGTTCTGACATTTGGGTTGTACTAAAGTAGAGTGGATAATAAACTAATCTAACAGAAATTAACTGGATACAAGTGTACAATAGTATATGACATGTATATATATATATATATATATATATTGAAAATTATAGAAAATAAAGAACAAATTACTCTCTGTTTGAAAGAAAAATATAGATATGCGTATGCCCATCATAAATGAATTATTTTGGCTGACTTTAGTGAAACACATACAAAAACTTGAAAGAACATTAAAATATTAAAAAATTATTAGGTAAACGAATTTGCGTGAAGAAGTTGTTTTGAATAATAAATAGAGATCTATATCATCATTTATAACAAAAAGATTTGGAACCAAAATCTAAACTAGTTTTTGGCCTTTTGGGACATAAAAAAAGCATTCACAACAACCAATTATGATTAAATCTCATTGTATGATGTAGGAACTCTCAAATCTTGAATTTTCACTATAAATCTTTTAACCTTTGAATCACTATGAATTTGTTAAAATATATATATAATAGAGAGAACTCGACTCGAACTAAATAGAAGACTTTACTTAGAAACTTGTGTAAAAGTGGATATTCTTACCATATTTTTTTTTTGGTAAAAGATATTCTTACCATTTAAAATTTTAAATGTTAAAGCATTCTTTTTTTGGTAGGCAAATGTTAAAGCATTCTTAGTAATGGAGAAATGGAGAAACTTATTACCTTAATCCCTCAAGTATCTTGGTAAACTCAACCTTTATTTGTTATGATTGCAAGATTTTTATCCTAAAGAATTGGATTATTATGAAGAAAGATTCCCCACTCGCGGTTCACGTCCCTAGCCGATCGTGTAGCAATTGTCGTTATTGGATCTGAGCTTTTCGATAAAAAATTGACGCAGTAATTGGATCTAATAGAGCATGAGGTTAAAATATGAATTATTTAAGATATTGGTAAATGAACAAATTATACCTACTTGTGTTTTTTTATGTTGAACCATCTTCTGGTTTGTCAACTACCAGTTGAACCATTTCGAAAAAAATATTGTTTCTGTTCGATTAAAATGGGGAAAAAAACATGAAATATAATCTTAGAATCTAAGGAAACTTAATATTGGGCAATAATAAACAAGAATTTGCTGAAAAGCTTTTGGGGCATCTTTGGAACTCCCAAGTTTCAAACAATGGTGTTTAATGTTAACTAGATGTTTGGCCTGTTGGTCAATAACGAAAACTGTCACTAATGTTTTAAAAGTAGAAGGTTTAATTTGAGAAATGCTACAAGCTTTAGAAAGTACTAGGACGAAACCCGCGCTACGCTGCGGGATATTTTTTTGATATTTTTATTTAATAAAACTATATTTGTAATAATTAAATCATAATGTTGAAAGCATTTTTTTAAAAAAAGTTATTTGGCATCAAATGGCTTTACGAGAAAAAAAAAAACATACATGAGTAAATATTTTTTACTCAAATTTTATATAGCCTCTCTGATCTCTAGAGCATCTCTTAGTCTAAACCAAAGTTTGTTAGCGAAAATGCACCGAAATCATTTAATAAAAACTGTAATTACATCATATTATTTGAAATAGTAGATTGTAGGCAATCCAAACTAACTCGATGAACGTTGATGTAAATGAAAGTAATATCAGAAAACCGAGATGCATAAACATCTATTGTCGTGTCTTCATTCGAGTTTATAAGATTTATCATCAATTGACAATCCGAAAACGTAAAAGTTGTGTGATATCGCATGCTCGAATGTTCGTCTAATGGCTCAAGTTTCCACCATTAGTGCACACAAGAACTTCTGAAGATGCTACACGATGATGAAAAATACAATCCATACCACATGCTTGGAAGAGAAAGCGCATCAATAAAGCAGAAAGTTATAGTTTGGTGGTGGCGTGTCTGTGCGACATTTTTGACAAAGAGATGGGATTGCCATTCCTTCCAAAAATATGCATCAAGACTAGCTTTCACTTGGATCTCCTAAACCGAATGATTCATGTCAAAAAGTTAAGCTACATATGTGAAAATCACTAGATCTATGCATAGAGGTGAACATCAATTTTTGATGGTAGAAGGTTTGCAAAAAAATCGAGTAAAAAAATACATGACCAGCTAGCTTATGAGAGTGAAATGAAAAATGCGACGGCTGAAATCGATTAATTTAAGTCGTGGTCTAATAATTTAAAGAATCCAATGTTTAGAATTTTTAAAATATATAAATAATATATTATTTTTATTTATTATAACAATATAAAACTTAGAAATAATAATCCAGAAAAGAAAACCTGTTTAAAATATAGAATAACCTCTATCAAATTATTTTTGGTTGCCCCTAAAAAGCCTCTAAACTATTACAGCTCACGATAGCATTCTTGATGTAACCTTTGTCTTCCATTTTGGAGAAAAACAAAAATACATTGAAATTATTGAAATCCCTCAAAATATTAAAAGAAAAAAAAGTATTCAACTTTTTATTGACCCTCTCTCTCTCTCCTCCTCCTCCTCTCCCTCTTTTCATGGTAGACCAACTCTCTCTCTCTTCTCCTAACACTCTCTCTTCCTCTCTCTATCTATCCCCATTTCCATGGAAGCAAGCAGATGTGTTCATCTATCTCTTTCTCTCTCTACAGCCTTACATGAACAGTGACTGTTCTCTCTTTCTCTCTCTCCTCCCTTTTTTCTTCTACTTCTTCTTCTTCCCTTTGCTTAAATTTCATCTCGAAAAAAGGGTATCTCGTGATCTTTATCGCTCAGAAATCTTCACTTTCAGGTAACGATTTATTGGGTCTCTCTCTCTCTCTCTAAAGCTCTGTTCTTTTTCTTTCTTCTTTCTGTGTTTATACTCTGATTCTTGTTAGATCCAAAGTTCTTTATTTGCCTCTTCTTCTTCACTTAATCGAGATCTGTCTAACCCTAAGAGATTAAAAAAAAAATTCACTTTTTTGCATGAAAAAAGTTTCGATTTTGTTTATACTGATTTTGATTAGCTCAAGAGCTCCAACAGGTTTATGCTTAATACGATTCAATTGAATTTGGTCACTTTTAGATTTGATTATTCAATTTGGGAAGAAAAAACAACAATTTTGTGCATCTACTCAACTTTCATCTATAGTAAGATCCATGATTGTTGATGTTTTGAGTCCTTAAGCTTGTTTTAAAACAGATGCTATTGTTTTGTTTTGATGACTAGATCAGTCTCAATTTTTGATGGAATCTGTGACAGTATTGATTACTAGAGTCAAGAACAGTTCTTTAAATCTCAGGGAAGAAGGGAATTGGTTTTTGAGAGTGCTCTGTGTTAGTTTTTTTGTCCTCCATGATGGCTTCAAAAACTCCAGAAGGATCACTTACCCAATTCCAGTCAAAGTATGTCAATCAACACTTTAGCAGATCAAGTATCTTCGAGTTTGTCTTTCGCAGATCCAAGTAGTGATGGTAAAACCGGTAATAGTAAGATCAATGAGCAAGGTGAGAGTGGAAAGAGTAGCACTTGTAGACCGAGCACAAGCAGTGATATAAGTGATGAGAGCACTTGTAGCAGCTTTAGTAGCAGTATCAACAAACCTCACAAGGCTAATGATGTGAGATGGGAAGCGATTCAAGCTGTTAGAACGAAACATGGTGGTTTGGGTTTGAATCATTTTAGGCTCTTGAAAAGGTTAGGATGTGGAGATATTGGAACTGTTCATCTTGCTGAGTTGAATGGAACAAGGTGTTATTTTGCGATGAAGGTTATGGATAAAACCGCTTTGGCTAGCCGGAAAAAGCTTCTTAGGCTCAAACTGAAAGAGAGATATTGCAGTGTCTTGATCACCCGTTTCTCCCGACATTGTATAGTCATTTTGAGACTGAGAAGTTCTCTTGTTTGGTGATGGAGTTTTGTCCTGGTGGTGATTTGCATACACTAAGGCAGAGACAACCCGGGAAACGCTTCACCGAGCAAGCAGCCAAGTAAGAAACTTTTTCTAAACTTTATGTAAGAACTGGTTTTATGCGTTTATAAACTGTGGACTTACTGTTTTACAGGTTTTATGTAGCGGAAGTGCTTCTTGCGATGGAATATCTACACATGCTGGGATCATTACCGTGATTTGAAACCCGAGAATGTTCTTGTGAGAGATGATGGACACGTGATGCTTTCGGATTTTGATCTCTCCCTGAGATGTACCGTGAGCCTCTCTATAGTCAGATCAGCCAATGTCGGGTCCGAGGGCTTGTCAAAGAATTCGGTTTCTTGCTCGCAACAACCTGCATGCATCCAGCAACCATCTTGCATCTCAATGGCTCCAACATTGCTTCTCTCCTCGTTCTTCTCATCAAATCCAAGAAAGACAAGAAACCGAAAACCGAGAACGGGAACCACCAAGTAACTCCGTTACCAGAACTTGTTGCAGAGCCCACAGGCGCCCGTTCGATGTCTTTTGTTGGCACACACGAGTACTTAGCTCCAGAGATCATCAAAGGTGAAGGACATGGAAGCGCGGTTGATTGGTGGACTTTCGGGATCTTTCTTTATGAATTATTGTTTGGTAAAACACCATTTAAAGGGTCTGGAAATCGAGCTACGCTCTTCAATGTGGTTGGTCAGCCTCTGAGATTTCCGGAATCTCCGGTTGTTAGCTTTGCAGCTAGGGATTTGATAAGGAGTTTACTTGTGAAAGAGCCACAACATAGATTAGCTTATAAGCGTGGAGCAACAGAGATAAAGCAACATCCTTTCTTTGAAGGAGTGAATTGGGCTCTGGTTCGATGTGCCAGCCCACCGGAGATTCCTAAACCGGTTGATCTTGAACCGTTAAATCCTACTCCTGCTATGCCGTCTGCCGCATCTTCGAGTGTGAGATCTGATCAGAGTAATTATCTTGAGTTCGATTTCTTCTGAAGAAACTGTTCCACAGTTGATGATTCTCATTATTGTTTCTTTGCAAATTCTGTTTAGTGTTTTCCACAAATGTGTTTCCTTTTTTTGTTTTTTTGAATTTTCATGTCTTGAAAAAGTTATGAGATTTGTTTGTAATCATTCTTCAAAAATGTGAAACAGTCTCTGTACCATCTTCTTGAGTTTTTTTAATGTTAGACAAGAACCATTGAGAAGCGATAATTCACAATATCAAAAACCGTAATTTCTTACAAAATGGATATATTATCAACAAACCGTTCTTACATAAAAGTTAAAACCCTCTTCTAACTCTATACAGACGAAAGGAAAAATCTAGTCTAAATACTGAGATAATTACCATTGGATAGAAGCTAGATATAAAAACACATTGCTTCATTTCAATTGTTTATAGCAGTTATAAGCAATAGCCACAGATGCAGCAGCACAAGCAACGGCTAAAGCAGCATATGTATCCTCTTTCTCCCAACTCTCCAACCACATTGACATCGCAGCACAGCCTTGAATCCACAAGAAGATCCATTTTCGCTGCTACTTATCCGAAGAGATGCTTTTTTTACAGAGGTTACTCTTTCCGGGTATTTTTCTCTGTGTGATCTCCTCCAACAGTAAGAGGTTCCCATTTTGTTGGCAACAAGTACCGTTAAGCTCTGGGACAGCTCGAGACTGGCAACAGATACCATTATTACTGATTCTTGAGTCACCCTCTGATGCTGATCTTTTCACTGTTTAATAGTAACCTTTGTTCTTGAGTTTTCTTCTGATCTTCTTCTGGTAGACCCATTTCACCCCTGAAAAACAATCAATAAGTGTTGTTTAAAGGCCAATTTTTTTTAGACTGTCTAAATCAAGAAGCTTTGAACTTCTATACCTCCAAAGCCGGTCTACAATTTCGCCTTTGTTAATGTGTTGCTCCAACAAAAGAGGTACATTCTCTAGAGTCACACATCCATACCTAAGAGACAAGAATCCTTACTAAGTTAAAACTCGCATAGAAGGAATACATTTTATTCCCTTTGGTTTAAGACTACAATTCATGAAAAAAGGAAATCTTTATGGTTGCACACTCAAATCTTTTTACTCCAATATAGCCTTAGTTTACTTACCAGTGTCCTGTGACTCTCTGGTTGATGTTTAATCCATAGATGATAACATCTCCAGTGTATTTGTGACCTCCAATGTGAGAACAAGGGCTGACCGAAACTTCACCTGAAGACCAAAATTCAATTTCTTCTCTGAATCGACTAACCAGCGAAGGTCCACAAACCCCACATCGCCGGTTTCGGGAACCATGACAACATACAAAGACATACGAACCACTTAAAGATTCAGGATTTCCAGGCAACCACTCAACATCCTTCACAAGCACCTCTTCAACAAATGTGTCCACATCAAAATGAGTCAACCTTCTGCATTTTTTCAAAACTGCCAAAATGAGTTACCGTTTATCAAGAATCATCAACCACAATATCTACTGAGTAGTACCTGTATCTGATCATATCTGGAAATCAGAACATCCCCATTTGATGTCTCTGAACCATCATGCCCCTCACATATTGTGAGTAGAGTCTGCAATTCAACGGAGAGAAAGAAAAAAAAACATCAGAAGACATCTAAAAGACACAAAAGATAGTTTATAACTGATGTGCAAGATCAAAGAAGCCACATTGTCAAGTAAGGGTTCCTTCAAAGACACTAGAATTGTGTATTCTGAAACCTAATCTCAAACGACTCAACAAGTTCCTAAGTTGTAAAACATTGAATCGGCCAATACAAATCTGACTCGAGAAAAAATCACAAATGTCCTCAGGAGAAATGACTCACTGAGATCTAAGAATCTCTTCAAAGAAGTGCCTTTTTACTCTAAGTCTCCCCTAAGTTAGAATCACAAACCATGGAGACCAAAATTACAGAATTCTCAGACCTAAGTCTACTTATATCACAGTAAATTTTGTAACTTTACATTCAAAAAAGGACTCAAAAACAAAATCACCTCTTTCTTCATACTACTCTTCCTCGCCGATAAACGGAAGAGAGAAGCCTCGGTAACCGATCAAACTCCGACGCTTCGATCCTCGCGGGCCAAACGGAGGGCTTTTTGTAGCACAAGAAGACATGCCTCTCGTAGAACTGTACAGTACCAGCGAGTTTCTCAAGAGCGAAATGCGTCGCTAAAGCTATCACCATCGCCTCCTCGTAAGCTCTCACTCTCGAAGCTTCCAGAGCGAGAGATCGATTCGCCGAGAAAGCTAGATTCGGTGATTGGAGAAGACGAGGAGGTGGGTTTCTAGTAAATGTTAAAGGGTCGTCTAAATATCTTCCGCTTCCCATTTGATTCGACGGAAAGTTCAAACTTTTTAGGAGATCGAAACTGAAAGTTTTGACAAGAGGAAGAAGAAGAAGGCAGAAGAGGGAGTAAAATTATTAATTAATATAGTAATAAAATAAAAAGTGTATTATGATGGATTTATGATGATATAATTGTACCACAGTTTCGACACGTTTGGTATTCCAAATATTAACAATTTGGAAAACAAATCAAAGGTGAAATCGACTTCCATAAATAAATACTAAACTTTTTATTTTTTCTCATTTCTACATTAACATTTTATATTAAGATTCCACCCATTTCTATACACTTATTATCTCATGTCAACAAACATAAATGCATAATCGTGTATAATATATTATTAACGTTACTATCATTCATCAACTTGGTGACAAAAAAATGTATACACATATTGATATCATTTTTTTAAGTCTCATATGTAAACAAAATATCTTTTAATGTTGATCTAAGAAAACCCATTAACAAAAAAAAACCTGGTGACAGAAAAAATGTTTAGTAGTATTGATTAACATAAGTTTAGAAATCAGAATTTATACAATATGGAAAATACAAAAATTTAAGTAAATTTGAAAGAAAGAAATGTCATGAGCTTCGATATATCAGATGAGCTCGATTTTTTTTTTTTTTTTTTTCACAAGTCAAGATTTTATTGATATAAACATACAACGACCGAGCAAAAGCCCAACAACATACAACAACGGTTTACAGACTAAAGAAAGTCCAACTAGCCCAACATTGCATCTCTTAGAGAAGAAGATTAGATCGAAGTAAAATATCCCAAGCCACGTGTCAACATCAAAGATACGTGTAACATGAGGAGACTAAAAGTTTTCCGTCATCGTCCTTCGCCGAAGAAGCCATCGATTCCGCCGGAGAATGAAACTAACATCGAGTGAAAATCGAAGATAGATTCTTTTGTACTTCTCTGGTAACTGCAAAACAGAAGTAAGGATCTAATACGGATCCAGAAATCTCAATAGAGAATAAGATCACAAATTAATCCACCTCTGTTAATTAAAGCAATCGAAGCTTAAAATAAAAATACAGCTAAGGCAATAGTAATAAGCTGAGGAAAGAGCTTTGAATCTTCAACTAAAAACGCAAATAGCCTAACCATCATCCGTAAACCTCAAACCCAAAGGATAGGCTGGAATTAGACCTTTTAAACCGAGAGTCGTCACAAACTCCATCACCAACACACAAATCCTATGGATTTTACCTAAAAACAATCAACGGCTTAACGAAACCGTGTATATAAGCCAAAAGAAAAGAAATCCGATACGCCGGAGATAGGGAGAAGAGACCAAACAGAAAAAGAAAAACTAGACTCAGCTGGGTTGAAACCATAAGCTAGCCATCACCGCTAAGGGAGCGACGATGCTAGACAAGAGCCGACCATGTACTGCTGTGATAGCCAATATAGGTCGGATTAAAAGCCGGATACCACACCGGACGGCAAGCCAAACAACGCCGATAAAGAATTCGGACGATGTTGGAAAACGGAAGCCAGCAAACGCCGCCCGAAGACGAACCGTTTGCTGGACATGAGCGGACAGATCTGCTGCGAAAGCCAAAAATTTCCGGATATAAACAGGCCAACAGACGATATAAAATCACCTTTGCCAGAATTTTGCTTCTAAGTCATTCTCTCTCTAAAAGGTTTGGGAGAGATAAGAGAGAGAATGTTCTTTATCCGATGAGCTCGATTACTGGTTCTGATTATAAACAAAACGTTCCTTTAATGTTAAAACAAAGTGTATTGACTATATTGTTTAAAAGCTTTCAGCTTCGAGTTTTATTTAGCAATTTATAAGTTTACTTGGTGGGATTTTGGGAGTAAGGTACCATAGAAAGGCAATCAATTTGAATGCAAATAAAAATCTACGGTGCCTTTTTAGGGAATATTGGGACTTTCAAGGGAAATCATAAAATTTCGATCATTCTAAAAATTTGTGCTGAACAATTTTAGAAATACTCAGAAACATTAAGAATTAATGAGGCCGTTAGAATCAAAACTCAGGTATTGTTGCGTTCTTGAAATTCTTGATACATTACATGGGGTTTACTTCATTTGTTTCAAGTTTACATTACTTTTTGTCCAGTTATTCGAAAAAATAGTATTTTATTGTATCTCTTAGGGTTTGAGTACTACTAACATTTGAAACAATTCTTTGAATTAGGATCGACTGTGAATCAGTAAAGTGAAAAGGTAACATGAGCAAAGATTTGGAATAGCTTGTGCAGATACTTTTACCAGAAGATTAGTCCATCACAACTCTTGGCCATTACGATCATCATCGGCTTATGTGCTAATGATCAAGACGCCGTGGAAGCATATACCGTCCTCGACCCTCAAAACGATTACATGCCTGGTATGATTCTCGTTATAATTCTTAACTATTTTTTTTTTTCATTAACTAAATCTTCTATTAATCCTTTGTTTTAATTATCACCGAAAAATTAAATAACATGACTACATAAACAAAATTTTAGGCTTTTAGAGTGAGTATTATATAAGTATTGAATACATCATTCCCTTTCGTAATTCCAAAACGTTGTTAATATCTCATAGTTTTGTCACGGTTAGTTATAAATAAGGAAACCTAACAATGGTCTAATTAATTGTATTATATACTATTTATGGATATTCGTACGTTTGAATTTGTCTGAATACAATAATTTTTATCTTGTCTCTATTTGAAACTAGGATCGGCTGATCCAACCCCACCGACGAGGGGGATGACGGAAACAGGAAACTGCTGACGGATCCAGTCACCGAATCTGAAATAGCAAAGGAGATTCTAATATATTTGCATGAAAACGTTCCTTCAGAAGATATCTTGACGCTCTTTTTTTTGCTAAATTGTTAATATCATTAGATAATGAAAATGTTTGACTTTTACAATGAAGAGCCTATGACTTTTGGAAACCTTGGCAAAAATAAATAAAAACAAGGCTTCAAAAAGAAGGAAATCACATGGAGTGAAATCATGAAATCCAAAGTTGCATAAGATTGCGGAAACGTTTTCTTTGTCTCCTTGCAGTGATAGTATTGCGGATGTCTCTGTCTATGAGCTTGAAAAGAGCTGACGTTGGAATGGAGATTTGATTGTGGACGACATTGTTTCTTTGCTTCCAAATTTGGTAGATTGATGCTTGAGCGGACTATTTTCCTTAGAAGCGAAGGTGCTGCTTGCGAAGATGAACGGATCCAAGAAAGGAGTTCAGTCCAAGAAAGGAACAACTGCGAGTGTCGAGCCTTGCCAGAATTTGGAGCCAGATTGTAGAAGAAAAATTGCAGGTGATAAGAAGATGGTCCCTTGATTCAACCGCAGAAGAACAAAAGCTGCAGCTAGACGAATCAATAATTCCCCAAGAGCGCAGTCTCTGCTTTGTAGGTAGCCTGTTTAAATGAGACACCCACTTGTTGAAAGCATGTTTGGGTATTGCTCCTTTAAACCAAACCAGAGAGGACCAATTAGTTTCTTCCTTTCGCGGTCTCAAAGCGTTCCAAGTTCTTGAAGAAGAAAAACCATTACACTTAGTAGAATCAACCACCCAATCATACTCATCAGAACTTGCAGAACGTGTAGGCGCAATGACTGTTGTCAAGTAGATATGCAAGTCAAGGGCAGCGTCAGATCTTGGTGAAGGAAGAGACCAGCCAGAGTCATTACAAGCGTCCTTTACCTTGGACTTAATAGGTACTCTCAGTTGCCTTGGCCCATCTGGTCCTAAGCATTTGATTAGAGGCCCCAACGGTGTCCATGAATCGAACCAGAAACTGATATCTTGCCCGTTACCGACTGTTGCTTTCAAAAAATTCTCAGCCACAGGTCTAAGCCGCAAGATGGCTTTCCAAGTCCAAGAATCAGTAGGAGATTCTGTGATTTCCCAGAAGCTGCTGTTTTTAATATTATGGAACTTATGCCAAAGAGACCAGAGGGAAACGTTGTCCGAAAACAAGAGCCAGATGAATCGCAGACAAAGCGTAGAGTTCCAGTCTTTAAATCTTCTTAAGCCTAGACCACCTTCAAGTTTTGGAAGGCAAACCGTAGCCCAAGCTACTTTTGCACCCTTACTGCCATCAATACTGCCAGACCAAAGGAAACGAGAGCAAAGAGACTCTATCTTTTTAATGCATCCCTTAGGCAGAATAAAAGTCGACATCCAGAAATTTACTGTTCCTGAGATCACAGAAGCAATTAACTGAGTACGTCCTGCAAAAGATAAAGTCTTTACTGCCCATCCACAGAATCTGCCTGCAATTTTATTTAATAAAGGCTCGTACTCTGAAATTCTCAGCTTCCTATGCATAAGAGGTAGACCAAGGTATCGAATCGGGAGAGAAGCAACAGGGAACCCATGTCTTTCAATAGCCACGATATGAAGAGGATTTAGGCCTGCATGAAAGAGGTGAGTTTTCTCCTTGTTAATATGAAGACCAGACCACGATGCGAAGTCATCTAGAGCTTCGTTAATACCATGTAGAGAGGCTTCACTCCCGTCAAAAAATATCATAACATCATCCGCGAACATTAAATGAGATAGAGATAACTCAGTTGTTTTTGGGTGATAGTTGATATAACCATTCTCGAATCTTGATTGAAGTAGCCCTGAAAATACTTCCATAGCCAAGACAAAGAGATAAGGAGATTGTGGGTCTCCTTGTCTAAGACCTTTTGAACTCTTGAAATAACCGCTTGAGTTTCCGTTTAGAGAGACTGAGAACGTTGGAGTCGTGATACACTCAGAAATCCATCCAATAAACATCTCAGGAAGTCCAAGAGCTCTAAGGGCAGATAATATAAATGACCAATTGATAGAGTCAAAAGCTTTTTTAATATCAACTTTAAGCATCGCTCTTGGCTGAATATTCTTTCTGTTATAACCTTGAACAATCTCGGTCGCAAGCAACACATTCTCAGCGAGCAGTCTTCCTGGCATAAAAGCGGACTGGGAGGAGGAGATGATATGAGGGAGCAGCCACTTGAGTCTTGAGGAAGGAGCT